TTAGCTTCTAAGAATTTAATTTGTACATTCAACTCGTATATAATTGTTATGCTACTTAGCGTATTCTCATTCCCCATTTAGCACAAACTTTTGATAGTGCTCTTCTGAAAGCAAATTCACAGTCTAAGCTGATGTGGGGCAATTTCTCTTCATTGCTGAAACGTTTGCCTACCCAGGTGTAAAACTTATTTTTGTTTTCTTTTAAATGACAAACATATCTCAAAATAATAAAAAAGAATATTCAAAACGTATTCTTAAAAAAAAGACTTCTGCCAATCAGGTGACAGTTTGTCGTTTAAATAAAATACATACTTAAAAGCGTTTGTAAGAGTTTATGGTCATTACTTGAAGTGGAAAAGAAGTCCTGTGTTTTTTACTGCAGCTGGAAGATTCATGATTCACCTGGGTTAGTTTGTTCTTCATTAAGAATTCATAGGAATAAATAGTTCTAGCCAGTGCAGATAATCCTTCTTTCTTCCTTTATCTCAGCATATCTCGTCTCCGAAATTGCTTCCATAGATCTCTGAGATGTTCACTGGTTACAGTCATCACACAAGAGTAATATTCCTTCCAACCATACTTCGGAGTCTCCTGTGAAAAGTGAAAAACATACAATTGGAAAAAGATACCGTTCACTAAATTCCTTAACGTTAAATTAAATTTGACTCACACTCATACAAACTAGATATATGTTTTAATATTAAAATCATGAAAGATCAAATACTTCTATGGCTCAGAAGTACTTCTGTAAAATGAGGGTTATAAACCCATACACAGGTTAAGTATTCAGAATGCATCCTCACCTCACAGCACACAGCATTCAACAAATAGCGTATGTATATTAGAAGCTGTAAGAAAGGATTTCGTCTTTATTCAGGTATGTCCTGCTCTCTCTCTAGTTTTGTTTCTTGCGTCTTCATGCTGACACTAAAAAATTCACCTCTAACACCAAATAAGAAGCATCAAAAATTATTGATGTTCATGAAACTGGGGAATTAGCAAAAGCCACATCCAAAATAGGCAGATGATATGAAAGCTTCTTTATACTACGTTACCTTAATCCTAAACTGCATTGTAGTTCATTGACATTAGTAAGTGCCCACTGAATGGAGAGGAATATCGTCCAAAGGCTGGCCTGGGCGATTCACTAGACTCTACGCTGTCTGTAGTTATCACTGGATCTCATTATTTCTTCTGGTATTCCTAACTTCACAAGCCTATTTTGATAGTAAGTACAGAAAGATGGAGAGGGGCTAAATATTATATCAACTGGGAAAGAGGCTAAGGAACAGGAATTGTAATTGTAGATGTCAGAAGCATTTACAAGTAATATTAAATCGTAATCCATCTTAGAAATCAAGGCCAGTATCTGGAGGTAAATGGTTACAGTGTCAAGGTGCGATATTGTCTGATAGCTTGTTTTGGTTGAACTGAGTGAAGAAGCTAAAAATATTGCGACATTGCAGTATTTTAAAACCAACCATTAGAGAGTGAAGCCTACATTTCATTTATTCTTATTACTCATCTTGCATAATTAAAAGCATAGTACATTATGCAGAAGTTGTAAATATTCAGGAAACAATCTAATCCACAGCAGTATATAATCCAGACGTTAAATGAAATATTAGAAAGAATACTTACATGAATGCATAATTTAGTTGAGATTTATAGTCAATCTTACTTACAAAAAAATGCATTACTGGCAAAATGCATTGCATTATTTAAGAAAAGCACATTCAGTTGATTAACCAGTGCTTTGAGATATGCCTTTATTTTTTATTTTATGAAACAAGTTCAGAGAAATGTTCATGAAAATCAGTAAAAGAAACACTGAAGTACATTAACTGTTCATTTACCTATTTCTAATGTATGCATTGTTGTTGTATCTACTTCTCAGGGTACCAAAGCCATAGAAAGAACATTCTGTCCACATACTGCAGTGCTTTCACATTTCACTGGAACATTTTCCTCCCACTGTACCCAGGTATGTTTTTAAGGTTTTAGTCAGTTTTAGGATCAAAAGCCTGGGTCCTGCAATTTCCAGTTACTTTTGTAAGATGAGTCAGTAGGTGTGCCTATCACACACTTCCCACTTTATTTGCTTTAAAGAAGGGGTAAGCAACAGTCTCTTCAACTAGTAAGCAACAGCCTCTTCAGGTTTTGTTTTTTTAAAGCTATCTCTTATGATAGATGTATTCAACTGCTGTATATTAGGAAAGCATGGAAATTAAAAGCTCTCAAAATATTAACTACATGACACATCTTAATGTTGCTTGACTGAACGAAGCATTTATAGAACACAGCAATTTACTGTTGAAACATGACTAGCAATGAGGTTCTGAATCCATGCTTGAGTCTCTCATGTCTTTCTCAAAATAGAATTTCCTTCCCCAATCAGTCCCAAGACTCTGTTTGTAGCTATTAACTATTACTTCCTAAAAACCTTAAATCAGAAATTTAGAAGCCCCACAAAAGTCAGAAATCTAGAAAACAGTTATTTTAATGCAAAAATTGTAAGATTTTCAAGAAATTACTGGGACTTACAACTTATTTTCTAGATTTACAATTGTGACATATAATGTTTATTTTTGATACTTTAGAAGTGAACAAAATTGGAATTATAGCTTAATTTAGCCATTGCAGTTCCTGAGCACACAAATAGTTTAGCGGACAGTACTTTCACATGGACTTGAATCCCTCCTGAAGTTGGCCTCTAGCATCCTTCTTCGGAAATTAACTTTGAGAGGTCTTTGTTAGAAATTTCCTACATAACCCTTCCATAAGGCATTTGAAGTAGAGTTCTCCTCTCAGCTCTGTTAGGCAATTCTCTACTAACGTGTATTTTTCTGTTCTCCCTGCAGTGTATGCAAAGGCGTACCTGCCGATGCAGAGTCAGGCTGTGCGCCCTGCAGGGAGAGCAACGCAGAAAGGCAGGCTCTCCCAGAACACTGCCAGCTCTTTGGACCACACAGAGCTAGTACAGTTGTTCCCCAAGGAGAGGTTTTCGTTATTTATTGTAAGGGTATAACATTCTTTACGCTGTTAAGTAAATTGCATTAGTGCAATTTAGAGATACGTAATGTACAGCACAATCTGCTGTTTATCCCTTTTCAGGGTGCAGGTTAAAAGTATGTTATAATCTATGGTACGTATGCCAAGTATCTTAATCTTCTTCATCAGTTCTACGTTTACCACAGAAAATATATCAAAGCATAGACAATTATCTGTACATTTATATTTGGAACAAATTAAAATTAAGAGTTCTTGTATTACATCTAACTTTGGGATGTAACTGCAGCAGATTTTTTTTATTTCACACACATTTATGCCTTTTTTGTACATCAGACTGAAATTTAATTACCCAATTGAAATTGTTCAATTTCAAATCTCCAATTATTACGTCTTTATATTCTTTTCAACTTCTAAACTAAATAGAGAATAATTATTTTTAGAATTATGTAAATTCACTTTCACTCCACGCTGTACAGCGAACACAGAATTAGTTCTGTTTTCCTCCACAGTAACTAACTCCAAATCACTTCACATGTGTTTTGGCTAAAGTTTCCATTTCCATTAACTGATACTTGCAACAAACTTTAATAAATATTTACAACAAATTTGAAGAAATACTGTAAGTTAAGTAACACTTTGCACAAAAAGGAACTCAGAATAGCTAAGAACGGGATATGTTACCATAATTCATCACAAGAGACAAGGAGCAGTTGCTCAAGTGAAGAGCAGTAGCTGACTAATGTGTCTGCAGGGATGAGGGAATTTTATATATTTGAGGTTTTGTCCTGGTTTTGGCTGAGATGATAGTGTTAATTTTCTTCCCGGCAGCTGGTATAGTGCTGTGTTTTGGATTCAGTATGAGAATAATGTGATAACACACTGACATTTTAGTTGTTGCTAAGCAGTGCTTATACTAAATCAAGGACTTTTCAGCTTCCCATGCTTTGCCAGGTGCACAGGCAGCTGTGGCTTTTTCTCAGATAAAAGCCACAGGTAGCACATGTTTTTCCTAAGATTCCCAAAGTGGAATTTCTTAAAAAACATCTTCCTTTTCATTTTGTTTTGACTTTTAGCACAGATAAATCTTACTATAAATTAAAGATTTCTAAACTTAGGTGTACTTACACAGATGCTATAAATCTTTTCTATTCACATGTGATATAAGACAGTATTTGAGCAACATGTGCACTAAATACAATTTTGAGAAGTTTGCTTACAAGTATTTGGAGTAATAAAAGATTTAAAACCATTACTTTCGTTCTATTTTAATTGTCACACTTCACCAAATATTTGCCTTTATTTATTGATTTTAGTTTTAGTGTGTGTGTATTCAGCTGGAAATATTTCAAGGCACAGATTGTTCCTAAATAGATACAGACTTATTTAATGTCCAGTGAACCTTTTCAAGAAGGATATGAGCAAGTATATGTTCGTGTTTGTTTGGGTTTAATTCACACCACCTAACAATCATCTTGAAAGGCAGTAAGGAAAAACGCTGCTGCTGAATAGCAAAGAAAAAATGTGGAGAATAGGAAAACCAAATGTAACAGCATCCTTACCACTGTTTCAGTAACATCTAAACCTACAGGGCATGAAAGTTCATGGTGGCTACTGATTGCCTGTAGTCTCCACAAACTTTGTAAGGCCTAATTTATGTCTAATGCTTGATGCATAATATTCAAATAATATTACTTAGTGAGTGTTGCTCTGTACTGCTGCATGCATTCATGTTTTGTTTTGCTTTTTTGTTTGACACAAACACAAGTTATTTATCTATTTTTCAGATACTGCATTCCAGAGTAGCAAATTAAACAACTAGAATTTCTACTCAGTGCCACATCTTACTTCATATAAAAGTGCACTATTCACAAGAAACACATGAAGTTTTACTCTACCAGAAATATATCAGTGAATTTATATGTATGGCAATAAAATTTATAATAAATATTACAAACTGTGTGTTACTTAATGTGAATTTGAACATTTTGACTTTTCTTCAACATACCGCTCATACGACATCTTAAAATCTGTACTATTTTTTTAAAGGATACATTAATAAAGGTAATAGTAAGACTTGGAGAATCTGAACATTATAGTCCATACAGTACCTTTCCTAGGTAAATACCTATCATTCACATTATAACCATAACAGCTTTACTCTTTTTAAAGTAACAGCTTTGTTAGCTTCTAAGAATTTAATTTGTACATTCAACTCGTATATAATTGTTATGCTACTTAGCGTATTCTCATTCCCCATTTAGCACAAACTTTTGATAGTGCTCTTCTGAAAGCAAATTCACAGTCTAAGCTGATGTGGGGCAATTTCTCTTCATTGCTGAAACGTTTGCCTACCCAGGTGTAAAACTTATTTTTGTTTTCTTTTAAATGACAAACATATCTCAAAATAATAAAAAAGAATATTCAAAACGTATTCTTAAAAAAAAGACTTCTGCCAATCAGGTGACAGTTTGTCGTTTAAATAAAATACATACTTAAAAGCGTTTGTAAGAGTTTATGGTCATTACTTGAAGTGGAAAAGAAGTCCTGTGTTTTTTACTGCAGCTGGAAGATTCATGATTCACCTGGGTTAGTTTGTTCTTCATTAAGAATTCATAGGAATAAATAGTTCTAGCCAGTGCAGATAATCCTTCTTTCTTCCTTTATCTCAGCATATCTCGTCTCCGAAATTGCTTCCATAGATCTCTGAGATGTTCACTGGTTACAGTCATCACACAAGAGTAATATTCCTTCCAACCATACTTCGGAGTCTCCTGTGAAAAGTGAAAAACATACAATTGGAAAAAGATACCGTTCACTAAATTCCTTAACGTTAAATTAAATTTGACTCACACTCATACAAACTAGATATATGTTTTAATATTAAAATCATGAAAGATCAAATACTTCTATGGCTCAGAAGTACTTCTGTAAAATGAGGGTTATAAACCCATACACAGGTTAAGTATTCAGAATGCATCCTCACCTCACAGCACACAGCATTCAACAAATAGCGTATGTATATTAGAAGCTGTAAGAAAGGATTTCGTCTTTATTCAGGTATGTCCTGCTCTCTCTCTAGTTTTGTTTCTTGCGTCTTCATGCTGACACTAAAAAATTCACCTCTAACACCAAATAAGAAGCATCAAAAATTATTGATGTTCATGAAACTGGGGAATTAGCAAAAGCCACATCCAAAATAGGCAGATGATATGAAAGCTTCTTTATACTACGTTACCTTAATCCTAAACTGCATTGTAGTTCATTGACATTAGTAAGTGCCCACTGAATGGAGAGGAATATCGTCCAAAGGCTGGCCTGGGCGATTCACTAGACTCTACGCTGTCTGTAGTTATCACTGGATCTCATTATTTCTTCTGGTATTCCTAACTTCACAAGCCTATTTTGATAGTAAGTACAGAAAGATGGAGAGGGGCTAAATATTATATCAACTGGGAAAGAGGCTAAGGAACAGGAATTGTAATTGTAGATGTCAGAAGCATTTACAAGTAATATTAAATCGTAATCCATCTTAGAAATCAAGGCCAGTATCTGGAGGTAAATGGTTACAGTGTCAAGGTGCGATATTGTCTGATAGCTTGTTTTGGTTGAACTGAGTGAAGAAGCTAAAAATATTGCGACATTGCAGTATTTTAAAACCAACCATTAGAGAGTGAAGCCTACATTTCATTTATTCTTATTACTCATCTTGCATAATTAAAAGCATAGTACATTATGCAGAAGTTGTAAATATTCAGGAAACAATCTAATCCACAGCAGTATATAATCCAGACGTTAAATGAAATATTAGAAAGAATACTTACATGAATGCATAATTTAGTTGAGATTTATAGTCAATCTTACTTACAAAAAAATGCATTACTGGCAAAATGCATTGCATTATTTAAGAAAAGCACATTCAGTTGATTAACCAGTGCTTTGAGATATGCCTTTATTTTTTATTTTATGAAACAAGTTCAGAGAAATGTTCATGAAAATCAGTAAAAGAAACACTGAAGTACATTAACTGTTCATTTACCTATTTCTAATGTATGCATTGTTGTTGTATCTACTTCTCAGGGTACCAAAGCCATAGAAAGAACATTTTGTCCACATACTGCAGTGCTTTCACATTTCACTGGAACATTTTCCTCCCACTGTACCCAGGTATGTTTTTAAGGTTTTAGTCAGTTTTAGGATCAAAAGCCTGGGTCCTGCAATTTCCAGTTACTTTTGTAAGATGAGTCAGTAGGTGTGCCTATCACACACTTCCCACTTTATTTGCTTTAAAGAAGGGGTAAGCAACAGTCTCTTCAACTAGTAAGCAACAGCCTCTTCAGGTTTTGTTTTTTTAAAGCTATCTCTTATGATAGATGTATTCAACTGCTGTATATTAGGAAAGCATGGAAATTAAAAGCTCTCAAAATATTAACTACATGACACATCTTAATGTTGCTTGACTGAACGAAGCATTTATAGAACACAGCAATTTACTGTTGAAACATGACTAGCAATGAGGTTCTGAATCCATGCTTGAGTCTCTCATGTCTTTCTCAAAATAGAATTTCCTTCCCCAATCAGTCCCAAGACTCTGTTTGTAGCTATTAACTATTACTTCCTAAAAACCTTAAATCAGAAATTTAGAAGCCCCACAAAAGTCAGAAATCTAGAAAACAGTTATTTTAATGCAAAAATTGTAAGATTTTCAAGAAATTACTGGGACTTACAACTTATTTTCTAGATTTACAATTGTGACATATAATGTTTATTTTTGATACTTTAGAAGTGAACAAAATTGGAATTATAGCTTAATTTAGCCATTGCAGTTCCTGAGCACACAAATAGTTTAGCGGACAGTACTTTCACATGGACTTGAATCCCTCCTGAAGTTGGCCTCTAGCATCCTTCTTCGGAAATTAACTTTGAGAGGTCTTTGTTAGAAATTTCCTACATAACCCTTCCATAAGGCATTTGAAGTAGAGTTCTCCTCTCAGCTCTGTTAGGCAATTCTCTACTAACGTGTATTTTTCTGTTCTCCCTGCAGTGTATGCAAAGGCGTACCTGCCGATGCAGAGTCAGGCTGTGCGCCCTGCAGGGAGAGCAACGCAGAAAGGCAGGCTCTCCCAGAACACTGCCAGCTCTTTGGACCACACAGAGCTAGTACAGTTGTTCCCCAAGGAGAGGTTTTCGTTATTTATTGTAAGGGTATAACATTCTTTACGCTGTTAAGTAAATTGCATTAGTGCAATTTAGAGATACGTAATGTACAGCACAATCTGCTGTTTATCCCTTTTCAGGGTGCAGGTTAAAAGTATGTTATAATCTATGGTACGTATGCCAAGTATCTTAATCTTCTTCATCAGTTCTACGTTTACCACAGAAAATATATCAAAGCATAGACAATTATCTGTACATTTATATTTGGAACAAATTAAAATTAAGAGTTCTTGTATTACATCTAACTTTGGGATGTAACTGCAGCAGATTTTTTTTATTTCACACACATTTATGCCTTTTTTGTACATCAGACTGAAATTTAATTACCCAATTGAAATTGTTCAATTTCAAATCTCCAATTATTACGTCTTTATATTCTTTTCAACTTCTAAACTAAATAGAGAATAATTATTTTTAGAATTATGTAAATTCACTTTCACTCCACGCTGTACAGCGAACACAGAATTAGTTCTGTTTTCCTCCACAGTAACTAACTCCAAATCACTTCACATGTGTTTTGGCTAAAGTTTCCATTTCCATTAACTGATACTTGCAACAAACTTTAATAAATATTTACAACAAATTTGAAGAAATACTGTAAGTTAAGTAACACTTTGCACAAAAAGGAACTCAGAATAGCTAAGAACGGGATATGTTACCATAATTCATCACAAGAGACAAGGAGCAGTTGCTCAAGTGAAGAGCAGTAGCTGACTAATGTGTCTGCAGGGATGAGGGAATTTTATATATTTGAGGTTTTGTCCTGGTTTTGGCTGAGATGATAGTGTTAATTTTCTTCCCGGCAGCTGGTATAGTGCTGTGTTTTGGATTCAGTATGAGAATAATGTGATAACACACTGACATTTTAGTTGTTGCTAAGCAGTGCTTATACTAAATCAAGGACTTTTCAGCTTCCCATGCTTTGCCAGGTGCACAGGCAGCTGGGAGGGAGCACAGCCAGGACAGCTGACCCAGACTGGCCAAAGGGCTATTCCATACCATATGATGTCATGCTCAGTATATAAACTGGAGGGAATTAGCTGGGGGGCAATGATTGCTGCTCAGGGACGGGCTGGGCATCAGTCAGCGGGTGGCGAGTGGTTGCACCACTTGTTTTTCTTGGGTTTTGTTCCTCTCTTTTTTTTTGTTTTCCTTTTCACTACAATTTATTATTATTATTTTATTGCAATTATTAAACTGTTCCTATCTCAACCCATGAGTTTTCTTACTTTTGCCCTTCCAGTTCTCTCCCCCATGCCACTGGGGGCAGGAGGGTGAGCGAGCAGCTGCGTGGTGCTTGGCTGCCAGCTGGGGTGAAACCACAACAGGTTTACAGTGCATTCTTGAGTGCACAGGGAACAGATACCGACCTACACAAGCAAGCTTAGCTACCAGAAGCATTCTTATTATAGCATCCAGGAGCTCCAGGTGGGAAGAAGAGCAGGGTAAATAACCAGCAACCTCTACACTAGTCAGTGAGGCTGCCTGTGGCCAGGTCAGTGCACTGAGAACTAACCTGGTTTCTCTGTCTATCTCCCAGTACGTAGTGTAGACATACTATTATTCAACTTTAAAATTTTTTTCTTGAGAATGACTTTATACAGAGTGAACAAAATCTCCCTTCATAAATCTCCACTGTATAGTTTTCTCCCAGTTTACTCCATCTCAAAAGATGAACGAATGAATATAACTTGATCCTTTTACCACAGCCTCTCTTTTTGTCACTAAGCTGATGTTATTAGGCTTGATGATTAGATATTGGATTCTTTTGTGCCACTGCATTTTGTTCTACCTGGTCACATACCCTTTACTGAAATTATCAGGAAAGCATCATGACTGTATAGCATTTTGCCAGTTTCCTGTAAGAGCTCTTCCATATCTTCAAAAGTTTACAGTTTAAGCAATACTTGATATGCAGTTACACTGTAGGTTGTGGCAGAATTAGTGCGGACAAAAAGACAAAGTACTCCTAAAATGATTTTTAAAAAGACACGGGAAAAGAAGAAAGGAAGTTTTGAGAGTCAAAAGTTTCAAAGATATGAAGTTACATAAAATTAATCTAAAGCCACGAATTTTCTCTTACATGACTAGTGAGCTGGATTCCTAAAATGTTAAGTATTTCATTAGTCATTTACACTTCCCAGTACACATTCCCACTTCCCAGAAACCAGACGCTTTGTTTGTTAAGATCAAATTCCCTTTTCTTTTCTTCACATATTAGTACAATGCTTCAGTATTTGGGTTATACTCATAAAAAGGAAGTATAATTTAAAAAATGTTAATAGTTAATCAAAATAATAAAGAAATAATTCTATGGATGCTAAATGTTATATATAGAAGAAGAGTGTATGCTCATCAAACGGAACTCATCTTCCTTCTAGGAGGATAAATCAGCTGCGTAAGCCTGGACGTACCCCAAGCCATCTTTACTGCTGAATTTCAAAGAACTGAAAAAAAAAATGACATGAAGAGTCCCAAAGAGCACAGTCTGGGGTACATGACATGCTGTGCCATGGGAATAGCTCAGTAGTTTTGATATATTCCCTCTCCCTTACCTATCTTGCACAGGCGTCTACGAAAGGAAAACATCAGTGGGACTGGTGAGCTAGTGGGCTACCAGTCTGGGTAAATGGACCCCACCTCTCATCCTTACAGACTTAGATTTTCCACTGTGCTGGAAGCCAGCCATCATCCCAGATAAACAGGATTGAAGAAACTTCTGCTTAGTATACCTACATTCCTCGCTTTCCTGCCACGCTGTTTCAGAATTAGGGAAGAAGGATTTAAACCAGAGGCCCAGCATGCTCACTGGCATACAAGTGCTCAGAGAGGCCTATGATAGGAAAGGGGAGGATTCAGAAGGTCAGATGCCAGTATGCTGATGTATGGAGACATCTGAAGATGGCTATTCGACAAGAAATCTCAGCTTAGTATTGTGCCTCAGAATTAAAAACAGCAGGGAAACTATAGTCAAACCCTCCTGTCTCAGAAGCACAAGATGTGCTGGCTACTCCACAAGGTCCACTCGCACCAGAGCACTGGCCATGGGGCCTTGTTTGTCATGGCATACATCTCTTTGTTCCTCCCCTCTGCATAATAATACATCTGGGACCTACCTGAGCTGTTAACAGGCTTCACAGCAACTACTGCAAAGTCTATAAATATAAACAGGAAAAAAGTGCTGGCGCCAAAACCTTAAACTGCAAAGGAGCAAACTCCAAACTCTTGCTTTATGTAAGAAGAGAAATGTCTACTAACACATTTCAGCTGTGTCCACCATGTGACAGTTTCACAATATGGCTACAGAATATGCACACCCCAGTTTTTACACTGAAACCCACACTACAATCGAACTGCAAGAATGAATATTCATGTAGTGGATATGCAGAAACAGCCATGGTGGTCATGTGTGGGCACAGTGCTGGTTTTTGAGAATTGCTGGTACAGCATTAATGGATCCAAAACCACATTATTGTTTTCAAAAGTGTAACTGTGTAAATCAAAGTAGAATCAAGTTCCTAACAGTCTCTCAGGAAGAAAAATCTGCCTCTACAATCTTCATTGGTAAATACTTATTAGCTATAGGTACCTGAGAAATTACTTGAAAAGTAGTCACAGGACAGACAGAAAACAGCAACAGAAACTATGAAAGAATACTTTTCCTTATTTCAAACATAGCACAAAATCGCAGCTGGCTTACAAAACAGTGACAGTGCGAGTCAGTCATTGCCAACTCCAGAATAAAATTCTATTGCTTCAGTCAAACACACAACGTGATGCTTTGAGCTACTACATTGCTTACAGTCAGATAACTTATTCCTGAATTTTGGAATGGGAAACAAAGCAGTGACAGTTTAACATTCAGCCATTCCTGCAAGCATGCCAGCACACTCAGACTGGGCAGCTAACACATACCGTCATTTATCTGCTATAGAGTTCCTTCCTCACGCAGGATTTGAAAGTAGTATACCTCTGTATAGGTTTGTAGCCCTGTGGAGCAGAAGATGGAGAAGTGCGCAGATGCAGACAACATGTGAAGGCAGCCAGAGGTAAGCATAAGACAACAGTATCATGAAAATACAAAAAAATGGCTTTAAGTGACGAGTAGCTAGAAGATACATTATCTAGTATGTGCTAGTTAAAATGTTTATCATTTAGTCATTAAGTTCCAAATCTTTCAGTTTAAAAATGGAATTTATAAAGGAAAGGGGATCTTCTTATATATTTTTAAATTAAAAAAAAAAAAAGAAAGGAAATAACTACTTTAAACCAAACAGAAACAGCAAACAAAAATAAAGCAATACTCTGACTGACCACTTGATGGCAGCTTAAGATACTAGTTTGTTTCAAACTGCTAAAACCAAAAAAGGTTTCAGATTTTAATACTATATTCCAGAAAGAGAGAAATTTCATTTGATAAACCCTTTAAGACATTTACTTTTCCAAAAACATATCTAAAATATATGTTAAAATGAGTATTTATTATGTTCCTATAAGGGGTAGTACCTGACCTTTCTCAAGTTTGTAAGTTTATGGCTAAGCTTTTAAATAGGACAAAGATAGTAGGTACTGACTGACCTTTCAGAACTCCAGTTTCATTGGACTTGTGTAACTCTTTGCTCTTAAATATGTTTGCTTTAGTCAGATTATATAACTGCAAAATGCCCTTTCCTAAAATACACGGTCCCAGTACCAAGCTCTGTGATGTCCTCAAGATTCTTCTGGGCAAACATTTTAGTAAAACAACTTTTAAAAAAGTTGAGTTACTAAGTATAAGATGTTAATTGTAAAATCATACTTCAAATCATAGGCCTATTTTAAACTGTTATTTTTAGATGTTTTCAGAGTGATAATCAGAGACTACATTGATTTGGGCAGACACAAATTGCAGGATACTTAACATTAAAATCAGGCATTTACACTTTATAAACAGGTTCAAGTTTCTCACGGCAAAAATTTCCATGTTGCTACAAAATACTGCATAAGCAGAAGCTATAATGTTCTTTTATCTGTATAATGGAACTGACCAAATCTTAATATGGATTCAAAACACAGTTATTAACAAAGAAAAGGTTAGTGATTTGTTAGTTTTGATTTAGCACAAGACAACATTTGAGCCCTCCACATTGTAGGAACAAGAGGGTAAACTTTTACTTGTTCTGGCCACACTAAATACTGTGTAACTTTTAATGTAGAAACAATAGGAAGCAATTAATGACACTTTCTGCCAATTTGTTCTAGGCAAAAGGTTCTTATGTGTTTTCTTCTTTTCATTCTAAACCAAGATTGGTGTGGTGGAGGCTGTTTATTAAACTGAAAAGGCAAATTTTTCAGAGTTTTTACTACTACCCACTCTTGGAAAAATCAGGTTTGTGTGAGACTTATGAAAACTTACTGGAAATTGTGATTCCTAAGTTTGGTACCATAATTGTCTTGGAATACTACTGATTAGTGAAGAGAATGCATTTTTCTGAATAATCTAAGAAGTCTGCATGTAGGCATGTCTGAATATAACTGAATTATAGGACCAAATCATGATCACCTCCTATGTAATCCAGGGGATAACTCATATCTAATTAAAATTAGACATATTTATGAAAGACAGTGCTATTCTTCTGAACATCCTTGGCTATTCTTTATAGTTCTTTCACAGTCCACTGGAATATTTTATAGTGGCCTGGGCAAAAGAAAGATACATGCATAGGACTGAACAGTGCTGGATTATATGTGATTTTTGTCGTGCATTTTGTGGAATAGAAACATGTAATACATTTACAAGAATTACTCGGAAAGCAGACTGTTTTCTGGTTAAATTAACATACACTGCACACTTACAATTAGTAAACAATTAAAACATATAGCTGAACATCTTGAAACGGTTATGAAACAATCATCATTCCCACACCATAATAAAAGGAATTGAGGACCAACAAGGAAATGTTTGTTACAAATGCAGTGGTGGTTATCCACATTTTACATTTGATCGTAGTATTACAAAAATAACAAGTAAACTATTAGACTCAACACCACTTCACAGAAAGTTCTAAAATTATATTTGGGAAGCTAACTAAAAATGACTAAAATTACATTACAGAAGTAACATACTGAAATGTGAATTTAGGAACCATAATACAGTTTAGGATTTATGTCTAAGGGATTAGGTTGTCAGTAAGAACACCGTTTTACATTTAGTTAAAAAAGTTAACACCTGTCATACGAAGAAAAAAAATGTGACTTGTTGATCGAACTCTAATTAAAAATTTTTCTGCCACTATGAAATTCCTCTATACTACACAGAACCTGAAGAGGGCAGCAAGGCCTATACATTCACCTAAAAGGCAAAGTATGACTTACAAGCTTGTTCTCTATGAAAATTTTCTGCAAGTAATTCCCTGCCCTCTAGCTTCTTGTAATTTAATATATTAGATATAGGGTTAAATTATCAAAAGCAACTTTGAACTAGAATATAGCATTGTTCAGCACCACTTCACTAATGCTTTATTTGAAAATTAAAACTATCTTCTACTGCAACTCTTTCCAACAGTCATTATCAACACTTAGTATTTTAAATAATGTTTTACAAGAGCCAAAGGTTGACCTTTAACTAAACCGCCCAAGTCTGAGAGAGACAAACTCTCTTTTCCCTGCAAACAACCCAGACATAATTGCTACCCTTGTTAAGATTCTTAATGCCAACCTATCAGTCACACAATACAGAAGAAATGACAGTATGCAGAGGATTTCTCATCTCCAGTTTGGTTTGTGTACTATAAAGGTACATTATGTCCTCTGTGTATTGCTTTCTAATAAAAAAATCATTAATTTAAGAAGGAATTTATATTACAGACTGCTTCAGGATTTCTGTAAAACATATGTCTTTAAACATACACACTCTTAGTTTGCAGCCTACTGGTGCTACAGCTGCTAAAGTAAGTGCTGGTAAGTAGTGAAGTCAATTAAGATAACTATAAAAATGAGAATCCTTACCCTAAACCCTCGACTGAGTCTGTCTTTCATAATGCCGATAAATTCTTTATAACTCAACTGGTCATCTCTGTCAACATCAAAAATCTTGAACACTGTGTTCACCAAATGTGGTGAAAGCTTCACACCTGTGGCTACGTACACAGCACGTTTGAATTCATCTGCATAAAGAGAACATCAGAAGAAAAACTAAAATACATTAATTTAATCCTACTTTGTGGACAACATATTATGAAATACAAGTAAACTTTTAACTTCAGTTTTCACATTTAAAAACTCAAAAAATAAGAAAATGTGAAAATTAGGATTGAATTTCACAGTTCTAAACCAAGTAGTTCTCAACTGATATAAAATGATACTGCTTAATTGGTATCAATTATTTTACAGAAAAGATTACAGTCCATATACTATACTATGCGTAATAATAAAATTAGAAAATCGTATTATAATTAAACCTATGTTACATATATACCGATGGCATCTACTTAATTGACACAAAACAGAACCTAAGAAGCAGAGCACAGAGAAAACAGTATACTCCTTTGGTAAGACCACATGAGGTGGGACTATGCTAGTGTTACTGTGTCAGACCCATGAAGATTCTACTTGAGGAGAGCACACAAGTCTGACCACTTCGCATATTCTTCACCTTGCATTCTCCAAGCATCTGAACTGTTGTATTAAGGATTTTAGTCAGTACATACCTGCCTATTTCTTTCAGCACCCACTTACTGATTTGTTCAAAAATCTGTCTAATCCCTCTTCATACCTTCTGACATTGTTTCCTTCTACAACCTTCGTAGAAGGCCAGATTCCAGACAGCCGCTGTGTAAAGAAATGCTTTTGTTTGCTTTGAACTGATCTCTTATTGGTGTCATCAAGTGCCTCTTAACTCTTGTACTGTAGGATTCGGTGACCAACTATTCTGCATTCAGCTTATCCACCACCTGTATGACTTTGTAAAGCTTTATCATGTCTCTTATGATATGACTGAGCCTTCTCCTCTCAAAGCCGGAGTCCTAGCCTTTTTAGCCTTTTACCTGAGACATTAAAACTACAAACTAGGAATTACAAAACATTTTTGTATTTTTGTCAACAGTTCTGTATCTTTATCAACAGATTTTTATAAAAATATGAATACTTACCTTGACCTATGGAACGACTTGCAAAATTATACATTTGCATTGCAATTGTAAAGTCTTCTAGGTTGTTTAAGAATTGGAAAAATGATCTAAACTCCTCAAATGTGATACCCTAAAAAAATAAAATAACAATATGCACCATAAGAATTATCAGTAGTGATGACAACTGACTAAATAAACCTTGCAGTTACATGTCTACTTCATTTAAGAATAGATACTACACCCATTGAAAAAACCAGAGATTTGTAGTGAAAGTCAATGAAGTAAAGAATTGGGAGTCTCCTGAGGCATGCAAGATGTCTTTCCTCTCTGCCACTGCAACGGATAGCAATTCTCACTCAAAAAACAGCCAAAAATATTGTTCCATTGCTTAAGGCAATCTTTAGGAATTCCAGGATTATTATGATACGGCAGTTAATACTGAGAAGAGTCTAGGTTTGTATGAATATTGGAAAATACTGAAAACCTGCAAACCACTATTATATATATTTGAATATGTGTGCTCACATGAATACATTGAATGAATTCATAAATACACGTTATGATCTAACTCAAGCTCTGTACTTTAAAGTGAAGTTTTTACATACCCAGATTTAGACCCCTAGGTCTCTTCAGCTGATACTCCAAGTATCAAGTATTGCAGGGTTTGTCCAGCTTTTTAAAAAGTCTTTTGCATTTTGACCAGACTTCAGAATATCTTCTGTGAAAGTGTCCCTGAAAGCGCTGTTGTTAAGAGAGCTTATTTTTTTCTTCTTCTTCCTTATTTGTTCTGCTTTTCTCTCATCTTAGCTACAAATCCAAAGGTCTGATAAACTATCTCTAAATCAATTTTGAAACAGACCTTAAACAGAGACTTGGAATGAAGCCAGGACCATTGCCTATTCTCATTCTCCATGGTCTGTCAGCCATTCTGAACATGGGATGGCATTCTTTGTCAAACCTTCATCTCCCTGGCCTCCTTTAACTATCATTCCTGGCTATTCTTCTGTCTGCTTTTATCCTTTTATCCTATTGAACTACTTCTCTCTGAAAATAAACCTGAAGACAATAGGAAGAGCTGTGCCCCTTTCTGTTCAAACTAAAATCTTTACCTATGTCTCTCCTCAAAGATATACATAGTCATTATGGTAGGGTGGAACACAGAAAACATACTGAAGTAGGTTTGTGGCAGAGAAGAAAATGGCAGAGGTTAGGCGTAAACCCGTATGAGACAGCAAGTACTGTGGTAAATGTGGAGAGCAACATAATACTGTTAAAATAAAAGACTTCAATAGGCCTCCACCCACTTGAGATGTAAACCACTGCTTAAGTGATCCTACCTAAGCTCTAGCTAAGATTTATAAACTGTTTGATTGGAGAGCTTGACCCATCTCCATCATGACTTGCTTTTCTCAACAAGCATATTTGTCCTCTGTTTCATCCTTTGCAATTATGAAACTCTCATAGACATAAGCAGAACCGCCTCCGTATTCTCCTTTAAACTTTTATCTTAAAAGCTTAATTTACTAATACTAACCAATACTATCTTCTTGTTTTTTGACATCTACTATTTTATGTTCAAGTTCCGTTTCTTGCATTCTGTTTAGACTGAAAACTCTCTGGGACTGGAATAACTTTGTCACATATTTGTGAAATACCTAGATCAGTGAAACTTCAGTCCCCAACTAGGACCCTCAGGTACTATGGAAAAATAGCAATAATAGAAAATGGCCATCAAAGTATTGAGCTGACATTTTTAGGTTCATAATGATTTTTAAAAATCCTTAATTTGCACTGATTTGTCTGTAAAGATTCTGAATGTGGGAGATACTGTAAGAGGTCAGGCTACTGCAAAAATCCTGGCCCCTTCCATGTAACTAGAGAGGAGATGATCAGTCTAGATGGAGAGTAGCCCTTGCACAGGTAAGGTGGTCTACAAACAAGCCTTTTTGCAGCTTCTGTGTTTTCAGCGATGAAAACTGCTGCCATGAGTTGACACTGGAGATGAAGCAGGGAGATAAAGGAGCCACACCTGCAGTCCACGGTTAAACTGCACATAGTCCACAACATTTTAGCAATGAGAAAAATATCTGGCTTCATTTAAGAGTTCTACAATTTCTGCTGAAATCACCTGCAATCATACATGTTTATTTCCTCTCAAGGAAAAACAGAAAAGACACAAAAGAGGCAGAAGGGCAGACACTCAGAGTTGGGTATACAGCATTCTGCTGTCTCTCTCCTTTCCTAGGACCATATTTTGCTCAACTGGTAACTGTAATAACATTTTGTATTTGCCATACGTTTTGCATTTTGACAGAGGAAGCTATCTACGTGTAGATATCCCAGAAGTTTCCTACTGGAAACTATTTATTTGCTATGTAAAAGGAAACTAACTTTTTTATTTATTTGGACAGATTATATTTTACTACAGCAAAGAAAACTGTTACATTAATGCACCAATGCTGTTAAAAATGCATAGACTTTCTTTAGGAGATAGTATTTGTAGTAATTCAAAACGCCAGCTTAAATGAATCACTGGTTGGCATCTAGTTAGTAAAAGGAGGAAAACATCCTGTGAGCAGGCAGCATGCCAGCTGAACATTTTAACATGACTACAGTACACCAAATAATCATCATGTTGCTTTAGAGGCTTCTACATACAGCGCCACGAAAGATTAACATTGCCAACTGTGAGAGCAGCTGCCTATTACTTTACAGGCTAGACTAATTTTTCTTCTAAATGGAATCCTCTGGTTTGTATTAGTATTGCAGCATATCACTGTAATGAAATAGAGAGTACATTTTATAATTTTTAACTTATAATGGTATTACAAGTGTAAAAAACGTGCAAACATATGAACAATTCCTCCATGGCAATAAGAGGCAAAGTCCCAGTCTCAAAAGCCTGCACAAGAGATGTCATAGGGATTTACGTTTTCCACTGTACTGACAGCACATTTACCAAGCCAGTGATATGGGGCTATGGAAAATGGCAATGTCTTCTTTTACTTAATGGAAGTGTAGCGTATGACATACAGATATATGGCACCGTTCGAGTGCCAGGATATGCCCAGAGTGCAGCATAAGCAAACCTGTAACTGAGTGACACAGCTTTCTACATGGAAGTTTTCCTTAACTGTCGGAAGAGGAAACTTCTGTGGAAGACTTGCTATCAGAACAGCGGCATTGGAAGACTTACAGATGAACTTCAAAGAATAATTCCTTGTGTTTAGAAGAAAGTGTTGGTATTTATAATAATCAACTTTACCTTTGCCATTCAAAGAAGTATTTCTCTATACCTATGATTGTCATTATTTTTCAGTTACCCAAGTCATACTTATATCATTCTTGTTATACAATCCCCAAAGGGATTTTTTTTTCAGATTTCCATACATATGGAAATCTTGATTTCACCCTAAACAAAAAACATCTGGGAACCATGCAAAAAGAGCTTTATACCATTTCTGTTGCGCTGTCTTGGCTTTGAATACTGAAAGCTGCGCAGACCTTTTAAAGTAGTTAGAACTGAGTGCCTCAGCCGCTAGACCAGGAACTCAGAAAAGGTCAGTGAGAAGGAACTCTGATCCCAGTCTTACACTTAATCTGGTGCAAAGGAGCAGCCCTGCTTTCCCTTCCCGCTTCCCAGCTATATTTATCTCTCAGTGGACCTAACTGCTGTACAACCACAGGAAGAATCAGATAATTCAGATACTTGAACAGAAAACTGTTGATTTTTGGAGTGTGTTTCTATCAGGTCAACTGACTGATCTTACTTACTCTGTAGACTAAAATTACAATGCAATTTCTCAAATAAAAAAAAACCTTAAAAATTGTCCAAACCGATTTATTACTTTTCTTCACAAGCTCTGCTGTCAATGCTATCAAAATATATAGGTATTGAAAGAGTTCGATTTCTAGGACAGATTAATCTCATCTCCTTCTGTAAACATAAACAGAAGGAGTATATCCAAAACATCCCTCATTTGAAGGGCTACTTTTAATGTTATCCTATTGATTACCATTGATGAATAGTTGCCACTATGTTTCTCTCAGATACACTTCTGACAACATATTTGTTGTTAAACAAATGAAGGACTATCTACCTCATGACCTTTACTGTTTTTATTTTCTTTTCTATCTCTTCAGCCATTAATGAGAACCACATACCCATCCATAATTATATACAAGTGATCCATTATTAAGACTATAAAACAACTAGATAAAGGGTGTCAATGTTATTTCTGAAGAGGTGCTATTCCAGTGGCAGTTCAAAAGAAAAGTAAAAAAAAAAAAAAAAAAAAAAAAAAAAAAGAAAAGGGTTTTTAATGCTTCATTGCTAGAAAATTGATCTTACGGTTTTTGCTGTTTAAACTGACTATTCATGTAATATAAAGCTTTGTTATCTAAACTTCAAAAATATTACTAGCTAATCCTATGGAACATAATTCTATGCTATTTACTCATCTACTTTTTATTCAGCAAGTAATCTGAAAAACATGAGACATACAGCTTACGATCAGAATAAAATCCTGGTGCTAATTAATTCAGTGACAGAATCTCATTCAGGCTATGTTTTCATCTTGATGACATTGGGACTGGATGCTGTGGCCCACTGCTGTCCTAGCTAAACAATTACCTTTTCTTCAGGAATCCTGCAGCGCATGTTTTCCAGGTAACTTGACGTATTTTCCACATTTGTATACCTCAAAAGAATATGGGCAAAGTCTTCCTCGCTGATGGTGTTCATCCCATTAGAGTAGGAAAGGAATTCTATCTCTAGGACCTCAGTTTGTAAGTTATCCATAAATCTAAAGCACAAACATAAATATGAAGAAATAGTAATACTTTTTATTTCTACTATTCATGTCCTTAAGAGACTCATAGAATACAAAGCCAAATAGCATTATACAAATCAGTTCCCTTTTCATAGCACTGATGGTAAATTTGGTAAATCCCTTATCTGTGTTGACTTATTTTCTAATCAATACAACAATCTTAATTCAAAGATGAATTGTTTTAGTAAGGATTAAAATGACTTAACACTTAAATTTCTAATTTATTTCTAGTTTGTGCTTTCTTAATTTTCTTCTTCAGTGGGTCACTGATCTTTATTTTTATATGCTAGACTGAAAATTCCATCATGGTACTAAATGAATTCCCAAAATTTATTCCCCATATAGTTACTTACAGATTGCGATTAAACCTTGCCTTTCTCTTTTTAACAAGCTAAGTATGATGAGCTCTTGCAGCCTTTCAATCTAAACTTTTTTCTTAATACTTCACTATTCTTATGATATTTCTATAAACTCTTCCCAACTTAACAACATATTTAGTATATTCTGGATGCCAAAACTGGATAAAGTATAAAACCAGCTATATATAAAAAGGAAATATAACTTCTCTGATTCTGCTTAATGTCCTAGTTATACAACCAAGGATGAAACTAGCTCTCTGGTCCCAGCACTGCACTGGGAGCTCATGTTCATCTGGCTGTCAACCACAACCTGTAACACTTCCCTGTTACAGGTTCCCAAGAGTTCCCATCCTGTAGACATTTCCTGCAACACTCCTTCCTAATATATAACTTGACTTCTGAGAACTATGAGGAGCTCAAATCAAAAGGATGTCTAGGCAAAAGGATAAATGCAAGGTAAACATACCAGTTATTTCCCTCACCAATCCATAGTTTAATGATTTTTTGAGCTGGTAAAGTAGTGTTGAATAAAACTTGATGGATCCCTCTTTCATTAATATGTCTGCTAGGTTTTGACCTCTTCAGCATTCTCATCATCTTACAGCAATAGACATTTTAACTAGATGCCTTTTGAAAAAGCACTTTCTTTTCTGGTTCTTGTTTTGAACTCGCATCATGATTTCACTTGATGACACAGTCTTTATATTATGTGAAATACTGAATACTTTTCATGACATACATAATTTTAAGGCAAAATATTTTGCAAACATCTGATTGATTAGAATGCACAGTTAAGTGATACGTATAAAGACAATAGGTGTTGGGAGTATTTACTGAGGAAACAATAATCAAACACTGTATCTCTTTCAATCACTCAGAAACATACAGTTTTATGGCTCTGTTTTTATGGCACTCTCTCTATATTTTTAAATTCTACTTTAACTGGTGTAATAATTAAGCCAATAGCTTCCACTGTGTTTTCACTTTTTCCCAGAAGAAGCTTGTTCTAAGGTGTCTGCATGATATCTTCAGAAAAATCTTTACATTTAAATATGTCTGTAAGAGCGGAGATGCGCACAAAAGTTTTTTTAAAGCACTGACAAACGGGAAAAAAATAAAAATATTTCAAAATGAAGAAAAAAATTCCTACATACCAATAAGGACAGGGTTGGGGTATCACCTTTCCACCCCAAACCAACTATGCACACAAGTGCTAACAGAATTTGCAAATGCAGCAGCATTAGTACAGGACTTTTTATTGTTGGTCCACTTATTGTTTTATTTTGCTCTTTGTATATATAACACACACAAAGGGAACATAAACTTTATATACATGTCTGCATAAACTATGTGTATAGTAATATAAAACACATTAATTAGAACAAGCATGCAAGTATTTTTTTTTACAAGGAATTAATAATGTTGAGACTCACCTATAAAAATCTTCAAAGTTCAGTTCAGCTTTTCCTTTCTTGCCGAAAAAGTGTACAAGCAGTGTAGTATCTGACAGTGAACTTGAAATATCATCAGCACGCTTGAATATTAAGAATAAAAAAAAAAATTAAAGGCCATGATTGGATCAGTTACAGAAGTATAATCTGGGAATGCCTATCCTCACAATAGACTTTTCTATTAAAAGAGTTTGTGTTTTATGTTCACAGTCTTAAAAAAGACTTTAGTATTAAAATCCATTAAATTAATTTAGTCATGCAATTTTCACACAAAATAGCATTAGGCTGTTAATTGCACTTAGTAGAGAACACTTACAACAACAATATAATATAATGAAAGCTGGAATGAAGCAGGGAAAAGCGTGAAAAATAAAACCAGAAACTCTTGAGAAAAAAAAGTGTTCTAGTCAGTTGATGTAAACCATAAAAATAACTCCCGTTGTACAAATCTCCTTCCCTTCTACTATGTAACTACAAAGCAATTAAAGGAAGTTACTTCATATATGCTTATTTTATATTTCAAAATTATTAAGTATGGGATTGTATTCCAAAACCACTCACATCAGTCAGGTGTATTTTATATGAGTCTTTTCTATAAGTATCAGATGACTACAGTTTAAATTTTATTGCCTAAATATATTTAAAACGAGAATTGTAAGAAATTTTGGAATCATGAAGTAGTATTTTGACTCATTCTCTTAAGAATGTTCCTCATCTACCGAGTCTCTGCATCAGACAGGAATCTTTGAACATGTACTAACACTTTTTCCTTAATAAATAACTATCAACTTTGAAGGCACAGAATTAGAATAGTAAAACCAACAAATTTTGACCATTTGTAATAGCAAGAGTTGTAAATAGGAAGACACACATACAAACAGAAGTAACTATCATCAACGTATAAACAGAAGTAACTATCATCTGTGTATAGTGATTGTGCAACATTCCACTTTTTTACTACTTGTTCATTACCCTTACTGTTGTGTATGTGCATTGATTTTACCTCTTTTACAAAGAAACTCTTGATATACTGAAGAGCTAGAAAAATATTTCAGTAATATAAGGCTCTTAAATAAGCCATAGTATTCCACCAAGGCAATGTCCTTCTGGCATTAACGCCCATCTGCCAACATTTGACATTCAAAAAGTAATATATTTAGTCTCCTTGCTGCACTTGCCTACGGAGAACCTTCTGTCCAAGCTCTCATTTTTCTTACAAAAACAGGATCTTATGAAAAGCAGAGTGGGAGCCAGTAGTCTCTGCTCTTCCTAGGCAAGCTACCGCTCATCAGCAATAATGACAGATTATAAACCTATTGGATTTACTGTACGTATAGAAAACTGTTTATACAGATCTATAAAGATCTGCATATACAAACCTGCGAGGTGCACTCAGAATCCTTTAAGTCTGACTTTATTTCATAACTGAATAGGCTATAAATTTATAACAGATGGAGAAACCAAACAGAATAGAATCATGAAGAAACTAGGAAGAAATTTTGAACAGTATGCAGTAGTTCAACATCAGGTACCATAAAAATAATTTCATATCTACATTCTATGAAATATACTATATTAATTTCAAATTTACAAACTGATTTGTGGAAAAAAAGAAGTAAAATACAATATCCATTAAGAGTATTTATGTATCAACAAGGAAAAACATGAGGCAGTAACAACACAAATCCTTTCCTTTCAACATCCAAGAACTAAAGAAATGAGAGAGACTTTTCTGTACTTTAGTATAATCAGTTTAGGATTCTCAAGATTGTATTTCATGTACTCTAGCTTCCTCTTTATTCTCATATTCTTCTCCAGGGAGAAATAAAATGACCTAGTGTACATATAGGTAGAGAGATATTTCATGTCCTTCAATTAAGACAGCTCTGCTCTTCGAGTGAGCAAACTAATTCAGAAGAGTAATCACTGTTTGTCTTTTAATATTGTTATCCTCCACTACAGGACACAATATACTGAAATGCAGATACCCTGATTTCTTATGTCTTTTAAGCAATTAAATCCCTAAGCACATTCAAATAATTTCCCTCAAGTACACTGAAAAGAGATCAAATGTTAAATTACAGCCTTTCATCTTGCAAAAACATTTCAAAACCTTAGACTTAGGTTGCATTCATCCATATCTAAAGAACCATTTAAAAAAATACAATCTGTAAGTCTTTTCACAATTCCCATTTGGTCAGCCTCACTAAATAAAAAAAAACCAAACAAAAACCTCACCCCAGAAACTCAACCCAGTATGCTTTTCTGCAGAACTGCAGGCAACTGAAAACTATTCCTGTGCTCCTTCTGCTTTGAGAGCATTACATAAATTCTCTCTCTTAAGGGGTAAGGGTAAAAAGCCTTAATCATTTAAAACTACTATTTATTGTTTACAATAAAATGAATTTTGTATTTTCGATCAGTTAAAATGCAATGACTGCACCTGTTTCCATATATACAAATATGAGAGTCCATTTTGATCTAATATATTTTGAAGTCTTTTAAATGAGAATATAAATGTGCCTCACTTCTCTTCACCTTTAGACTAACTGCAGTACAAATACAGGTAAAGAGACAAACAGGAGAGACAAGAGTTTCAGTCACATTATCGGCTTTCTGCATAATGGTAACAGCTTTTCCTCTCAATTTCCTAACCTGAAGAGCAGTAAATCTATTTTTTTATATTCTGCAAAATTAATTTCAAGCTTTTGATTAAAGAGGGTCAACTAAAAGTAAGTTAAACTCATGAGCAATGGTCCACTTGTAGCAACATATTCTGAGAATGAAGTATGCGTATTATGCTTTAAGTTAGTAAGAGCTTTCTTACTGCAAGTTCTTGATTTTTCAATAGTGATAATAACCCTACTGATTTCCAGTTTCATTTAGTAATTTAAGAATATGCCCACAAACTGAACTCAGTGGTAAATGGCATATTCCAACAGGAGAGTGTAGTTGCTTTAAATTAGGAATAGCAGAAACAATACTGTAAACTGTCCTAGAAAGAAACTGGATGTCATGAATAACTTCTTTCCCCCCCCGAAAGAGACCTTGTAAGTTGATTCTCATAACAACGAACCTTATTTACTCTCCTTTTCAATTTACACAAGGCCTTCTCAAAAGGCTATGAAACAACACAGACTCCAGTGTCACCTAGCTTTATGCCACTTTCTTAGCACAGATGGCTATATCATTCAGATGTGAGAGTACCTGGGAGAGAGAAGCATATGGATGAAAGCCAGCCGGCTCAAACTTAAACCAAGCAAGATAAAGACGATTATGGTGAGAAGTGGGAAATTCTCAGTAGAGCAAATGAAGGATATACAATTTTTTTCATAAAATGAATGAAAAGTGAGCAGAGAGACTTTTTATAAATTTTACAGACAATTTAAATCAATGTTTAATATTGCTGCTGTTAAGCTTCAATTATATCGTAGGTGACAGATACTAGCCTGAGACATCAGATGTAAAAAATCTCTCTCTCTTCAAGGATTAGGGATTACTAAACTTAAGTCCATCTATACTTGGGACTGAATTCATGCCAACTAACTGTAGATTATGACGACAGTTAATTCAGAAACCTCAGTGCCTCAAGCTCCTTAAACAGTCAATGAAAAGAGCAGCCCTCTCTCCCTTCTGTGTCTCCCTTAGTTGACTAGACAGAAACATTGATGTTCTGGGCTTTAAAATTTGGTGGAATAAATAAGGATTAATAACTTGACTAACAGCTCAAGAGCTCATCAATTTAAAAGCAAGGAAAGAAAGGCTGGGTATACTGCTTTATTGCAGGATTACTATGAATGTATTATTACTGTGAATATCGCTATAAATATTGGTCTAAAACTTAATTCTGTAACACTACATTTTGTTTGTTCAAAGGCAAATGAACTCAAGCTGACAGAGGTACAGAGAAGGCCTATTAGATACCTGGGAAATGTAGGTTCTACCTTAAGAGAAAAATCAAAGACCTTGTTTGTTTAGGCTATGATAATTAAAACTGTGGGCTATGACTGCATTTATAAACACAACCCTGAGTAAGAAAATTAACACTAAAGAAGAAAAAGCCCTATGAAAATTAAGGGACAACAGACTGGTATAAAGGCATTATGAGTAAATTTAGCCTGGAAATTAGAAAAAGTCCATCCAAGTCCTCAGGTTATTCAATAGCTTCTGCAGAGGAACAGCAGGGACAAAACACTAATTACTTTTAATATGGAGCACACATTGCTTATGAAGCAAAGAAAAAGATTCTTTTACCCTGGAGGTCTGTTTCAGTTCCATGTTCTTTTCTCATTATGATCCTGCTTATGAAGCATGGGACTTGAGACCAGAGAGTCAGTGGGGAGCTGCTGTATGTCCTTTAATGCCACAACCAGCAGAGCAATCACCCTCACTGTATGGGGCACAGAAAAGCCTAAATAATCTAGTTTTCTAACCCTCTTAAATGATCAGTAAAAATAAATGTCTTAATTGTCTGAAAGCATATAATGAAACAAGAATTTGATTAGAATTTAAAGAACTATGGAAATTAGTTTGACAGCACAGGGATATTGCTAGTCCTCCATAATGATAAAAAAGACTGTTTTGGTTACCTTAAAACACTTCTGGTTCAATCGAACAATTAAAACAATCTTTGCGCAATACCGTTTTTGTGAAGATAAGCTTTGATAACATACAGAAAAAGCACATTAAGGACCTACACATTAAAAGCTTAAAGGGCTGCAACTCTCATTAAAGTTGTCACATCACTGGACCAAGTCTAAATGACAAAGGTTTCCCGAATTATTTCTCTAACTGTGAAATACCGTCACTATTAGTGTCAGAAAATGTTTTTTTACAATAAGGACTGAAGAGGACTTGATCTTCCAGCTCTTTCAAAAGGTAACTTTGCTTTTACTTGGAAATGACAACTTTGAATGATCGCACTGCATGGAACTAAACCAATTTCATCTGAGAACTTTCAGGTTTAAAAAAAAATAATTAAAAAGAAGAAAGGAAACAAAGTGCATAAAATAGGAAAACAAACAGAACAGAAATAAATAAAATAGCAGTCTGTTTATGGACCAGAGACAGAGGTTGTCTTATACCTCCGCAAGGTCCGAAAAGAGTGCTTGGCTTGTGCTACGTCTCAAAGTATCCCAATAGCTTCTGGGGACAAGGTCCTCTCCTTCTGTTTTAAGGACCTGCAGAAGTTTCAAGAAGCACAATTGTTTGAAAACCAAAGAACCACAAAAAAACTGCTTACAGACTTTAAAATCTTTTCCAACTGATCTTCAAAAGTATGGCTTGATTCTTTTGCTTTTACAAATTTCCACCCAGTTACATGACACTTTGTAAATCAAAGGAACACTAGTATATTACAGCTATTTGCTTATTACTTATAACTTGGCTGTGCCGGAAGTATCAGCAGGCTCCACTTTCCCAAACAAAATAATTTAGAGAAAATATGTGTTAAAAGTACGCGTGAAAATGTCCTCTAAATTCAGTATTTTGCTGTTGTTTTTCCCAACAAATTTTTTGCCAAAAAATATTAATTTATATTCTTATTATATGAAATTTGTTTTTCCATTGGTCAAAATATAAATGCTACCATCTAATCAGTTATATAAAATTAATTTCATCCAATAATCAGAATGACATCCTTGCAACAATAAAGAAAAGCAAAAAACAAGCCTAATAAGTCCAACTTCAACATACTTATCAAGAGAACACTATGCACATCTGATTATCAAACTTACCTTGTTTAAATAGAAAATAAGTGTTTAACCTCTCCAAGGAAGATATGCTTACCTTTTTGCTCTGAAATATTTCATATTTGGAAGCCTGAAAAATCCTCCCTTATTAAAATAGGCCTTCCTTTACCTTGCAATTAGTCTTGGAAGATCTACCTAATACATTTCTTCCCCCCCTGCAAAGAATCTAGGGGAGGTGATCCAGAAGACAGCAGAAGGCTATCTGAACTCAGTTAGGGTTATTGCAACTGAATGAATTTTCCCCTTTCTCTCCAGAAGTCAGTGTAAACTAGGTTGTCTACTTTCAGGGCTTCCTACTTGTGTCCATCTGGGCATGCAAGACAAAGATAGAATGAGTTTAGTCTTCTAACTACAAATTAAAACAAATTTTTTTTTTGAGTCAGCGCATACTATTCTCTTAGACGATTTACGGTGATGTGACTGCTGTACGATGTGTAAAACCACATTGTTATCATACAGAATACTGTGCAGAGTTGAAGGCTTATTGTCTCTATGTATTCCACATTATGTCAATCACGGAAATACAAATTTAAGTCTTTAAACAGTTGAAATACAGTATGATTTATATTTTTCTATTTTCCCTTAGTGTTCTTTAGCACAGTATCTCCTCAGGTAACAGGTCTTCAATAATCTTGCAGTACATTTAGCAGTGATACAGTTACATGAGTGAAGATATTTAATGGGGCTCGGTACTTATGGGACCATCTTGTATGAATTTGCTTCAGCTGTATTTTACATGTTTATAAAAATGCATCTGTATATGAATGATTATGTCAATTTACATCATATACAAACAATGCTCTTAGTACTACAGAAACAATATTTCAGCAGTAAGTCAATATGTAATTTAAAAAAATAAAAAATAAAAATGCATTAGGATATTTATATATGAAGTGTGTCTGGCTGCAGAACACTGAAACATATTTGCTGGAAGGAAATATGCTAATCTAAAATTTTTCTCAACTGGTATACTGCTTCTACAAGTTCTATTACATATTTTCTCCACTAATCAATTCAACTCAGCTCTTTTTGTAAATTGTCATCAGAGAAACATGACAAACTACCAGGAATTATACCCATGCCTAATGTATATTATACTTTTGTTTCCTTTTTGAAAAATTCTGGTTTTATCTTTCTCTTATTTTGGAGTAACAGTTCCTACATTGTGGCCACAGTATTCTCATATGTAACTCCGTTCAGTCCTAAACTGCTAAACTCAAAGAAATTGGTTTACTTCAGTGAGTACACGATTAGGTCCTTAGGGCTTCAGTTTCTCTTTTACACTTACTTATTTATACCTTTGGTATTTACTGGGTCATATGTATGAACAACACCCCAATCCTTTATCCATAAAATAATGTAATACAGCTATTTGAAGTATTCACTAATTTTGTTCTCTTACTGGAGATTTACTTTAGCCAATGGAATTAGTATTTCTGGGCATGCACATTTTCTTTTCCTTACATGCATCTCATCATAATGATCATGTTCCAGTTGGCATTTGGCTAGTAAGAGCACTCATGCAACACATGCTGAAGTAGTCTTAACACACAACCGCAGTATGCACCAGAACATGACTTGAAAGAATTAACCTATGCAAATGAAAAGACAAAAATATGTAACCTATTTAGAACTTCACTGTATGCACCCTATGGCTTATAGACCTTGACGTTTCTCAGAAAGTTAGAACTGTTTTGAAGGATGAAGTGAGGAAAGGGGCCCAACACAGCACTTTGAACTATCCCATACTTTTCAGAGCTGCGTCTCCTTGGTCATGAGTATCTTCAACTCTCCAGGACATCTTGTTTCAGTAGAAGAAATAGAAATAAAAAATATCAATATTCTGGGGTGGGGTATTTGTTGGATACTGTGAATTCCTATACATCTGAGTCTCCTTTGCATAGAGCTCTCCATTCAGGTCGTAGGAGGGCAGGAAAAGATGGTGCACACCTGGACATCATCTTGATACAGAGTTAGAATGTGGCTGGAGTGGACCACATCTAGAAGGAGATTTTTTTTACTAAAGTTGAAAACTATTATATAAATAGGAAAGCCTAGTTAGTTGGGTTTCAGTTTAAAATAGGAGGCAGCACCTTTTACTGCAATAAAGCCTGATCTAAAATCCATTGAATCGTAAGACCTCACATTTCCTACTACATTATTCTCACAACATTGGAGCATCTACATCATGTCACTGCACCTTTTCATTCAACAGACTTCCTTCCTGCATACTGCCCAAACTGTACGTGCTAAAGAAACAGACTTTAAAACTGTAATTTTACTTGTTATCTAATTCTCCTAGGTTCCCTCCCCTCACTTTCAATATCACAATAAGCATACCAAAACAAGTTTAATTCTTCTATTTTAACATCACATCAAACTTTTTTTGCAACAGTTTTACTTCTGCTGTGATCCAAAAATCAATCAGGTCAGGGTGAAGACATTCAAAAACCAGAAGATCTCTTTCTTGTCGATTCTCTCTCCTACTCCTCAAAAACAACTGAAAGTAAGTTTACTGTCACCTACATAATACAGGGACTATTTTCTATAAAATCCTATTCTAGTTCAGCACTGAAATTTCTTATTTATTTGTTCTGTAAGTGAAGCACAAAAATATAAAAGCTCTCTTCTGGTTTCTTTTTATTTGACTATTACTTCACATTATACACAAGGAGACAAGACAGGCCTGGATCAAATAACTCATGCAGGATGACTTAATTTACATACGTTAATTAAAACCAAGTCTATAACTTCTTAAGATACACTTTGTCTTTTCCCTTAAAAATATTGTTTCCTTCATTTTACACAAATAAAGAGAACAACCTTTCCTCCTGGTAGGCTTGCCTGTTTCAGAATGCATGCAACAAGCATGCACAACCTTTTATGCAAGTAAAGATCCACCACATTTTTACTGACTAGCAGAAGTAATTTACTTGATGAAAAAGATAACTACAGTAAATTTTCTTATAGCATATTATTTCACCTCACTGGTGAAGACTGCATAAATTGAAAATAATTAGAGTACATACACTGTTAGTAGAAGTATGATATCCATAAAGTTGAAGACGCTGACAAACAGCAAAAACGGGCCAAGCCAAGTATCACGTCAGAATGAAGACAAAAGAATGAAAAAAAAAAAAAGACAACAGAATAGGTTAAGACAAGTAAATCTTTATTTTATATATTATTAGATTTTTTTGTTTGTTTTTAAAATGACAGTGACAAAAAAATGGTTTATTTTCAATCTCATTCTTTAATTTTTCAACAGAGAAGTACAGAGTTGCAGAGATTACTCTCAGCAGAAATGTTCCATTTTGTAATCTTTACTTTTTCCAAAAGCTCTTCTTTTGGATGTAAGTTTCCTTTGTTCAGAATAAACAATGTGTGAGAGATTCAACAATTGACCTACAGATTTGAAAAGCTGAGGATAGGTTTCTCTGGGTCGGCAGAAAAGATCCCTTTTTATGCTCAGGGAAGGTTTAAAAAGTATTAATTCCTGAAATTCAAACTTCCTATGGTTTTAGGGACAAAGATCTGAGATCAAGCATCTATGATCCCAGAAGGATAATGGACACTATGAGAAACTTAGCATGTATTTCAAAATGTTTCTTATAATAAGGAATTTTTGCTATAAATATGCAAATTACAAATGAACATGTTGTTTTCTGTTGTGGGCTTGACAGAGACTTGTCCCTAATTTTCACTTGTCCAACAGTAAAGTAACTTGTTGCTGCTGCTGCCATCCTCCAGACAAACCACCACAGACTTGTGTGTTTCTGACTTACTTACCTTTTTTATGCACATAAGAAATGCAAATTTGACATTAAATAAGAACTAGTATTCATTACTCCACAAAAATCTATTCACATAATATAAACAACTAAAAACATTTTGCATTGGTCATAAGCAGTATTTAATAAAAAAATTAAATTTGAATATAAAATCTAAGTTCACTTACAACATCAGCTATTTTAAAACTACTATGTTAATAACAAGCATGAGGATCACTATGTCTACATGAACAGCTTTCGTGAGTTATGACAGCAGGAGTATAGTTTGGTCTTGCCACTGAGATCTCTCACTCTTATAGACAATAACACTGGGTCTTTGCTATTCACTTTTCCTACATTTATAGATTCCAAATGGAATCAATGCAACTGTCGTAATATGTAATACAATATCTGAACACTAATTTTTCCTTTCTATAGACCACTTAAATATTTTTTTTTCAATAACTGCTCTTTAGGATAAATATTGATTTTTTTCTTTATATAGTTATACGTAATTCTTTTAATGATATGAATTTATTGTTTTAAAAAATTTGGAAGTTATTAGTGAAATATATACATACGCACAATTTTGTCTTACATCGAAGAAAACACACCAACTACCAGCTGCAACTATTCTAATTTTACTTACCAGCATTGCACGTTTTTCTTCATCTCCTTTTCTTTCTCTCTTCTCATTTTTTTTCCTGAAAATCTCTTGTAGCTAAAAAACAAACCATTTTGTTCTTATTTAGTTTTCAGGCTATTTCACATGCATAACAATCATTCATTGTGAGGAACACTGCAAACAGTATTAAAATGTAGTTCTTTACTAAAATATCAGTGTTTCAGTGATGCTTTACTGTTCATATTCATGCCTTTATGTTCCTTCTGTCACCTTAACCACCACACAGAAAGGAAAAAGGAAATATTTCTTCCACAAAGCAAGGCTAATAATTCTATCTGGGAGAACAATACTAAGAACATCCAATTTAGCTTTTTATTTTAGCCAACCCAGCCTATACAAAAAGGGGGAGTTCCAGCCTTTTTCACCACCTCCTTTCTTGTTGGGTACTAATTAGTATCTCTGTAGCTATGCAGGCACCTGGATCAATCTTTTTTTCATATTGTTAGTTTCCAACCAGATCAGTTCTTACTCCTGCTGGCACAAGGGAAGGGTGGAAACACCTGGTGGGGGTGAAACATTCCTCTTCAGCAGCAACAAACTATTACTCAAGAGTAATTTATGAAGTACTGTTTTTTTTTTTCAAGTCTGTTCAAAGAATACCTTTAGGTCTTGTAAAATACCCCTTTCACATCTTTCTCTACATTAAGAGCTTTAAACATGACTTCTGAGAAAACCTCAACTACAAGATTTGAAACATACAGAGATTATTAAATGTATTATTTTTGGAAACCGCAGCCTTCAGACTAGGAAATGGTCTGTACTTATCTTTCTTTGTAAATATCTGTATTCTTTAAATATTTCTATTTATAGTAATACTTATTAATATTCCCAAACCATTAGAAAAAAGTGACACCTTGTTTACTCTTCACAGGAGACAGAGCAGCATTAACCATGATCCCATCTATATCTCTACCAGTGAACTTCAGCTTTTCAAAAACTGCACCTGAAAATATTGTACTGCCACTTTTAGCATTTGCTAATCTCAAAATGGCCGAAAAAAAGAATAAATACTGTGGCTGACAAACTTGTCCTGTCTAGAATATGGTATTTTCAGAACCAAACATCATGGCATACAGACAGTGGCACCATAAATACACAATTGTGGCAGTTGTTTCAAAGACCTGATTTTACCTACCAGAAGTCTGATAAAAACCTGATACTGTCATGACATGCACACAGAGCTCCCCAGGGATCAAAATGTGAAAGACAAAGTGTGTGTGATAAATTTTGCAAGCAATTTTTCCAAATTTAATTTCAGAATACCATATTTCAGAGAAGGCAGATGACTAAGACACAGGCATCAGCAAACTCTACTGTAGGGGTATAACAACACTGAAATAAATGAATACAGTGTTTAGCAATTAAATAGTGAACACATTTATGAATAATGTTTTATGAATTCCCAAAACTGACTACTGTGTTCTGGAATTGCCTAAGGCAAATACAGACCAGAATATTGTGTGTGCATCTGTATCTATTTTTGAGTACGGGATTAATTTACAGACCTTGGTATGTTTTTTCTAATTTCTATAAAACCTACAGGCACAAATTACTGTAACCTATGCTGATAAGGAAGGAGCCACGATAGGACATTTAGCTGGATGGCCTAGGGTATTACAGGGTGTGCAACCCAACACTGTGGAATGAAGAAAGGTAAATGAAGAAAGAGAAGTAGAAAGAAAATACCTTGTGAAAAGTAAAGTGACAAGCCATCAAGTAGAAGAGTGGCAGTAATTGAAAAATCAAAAAAGATTGGTAAAAAGCAATGCATCCTTGGATGTATTTACCCCACCACAGAGGCAAAGGGAGTAGGATTCTGTTGCATTCATCATTAAAGCACTTGCTAAACTTCTGGAAATGGATCTTTTGTTCAGAAGGAGTGCTATAGGATACTAGCAAGTAGAAAAGTGAATGTGAAAAGGATGTAGGAGTACTTTCATAGGAACCTTGTTTGAAATAGGATAATGAGATTGACTGCTGAAAGCAGCAAAACCAAGATCTCCTGTAACAAGGGAACACAATCCTTCTGTTCCCTGACCTCACCCCTATGGCATAAGCAAAGAGGAAAGCACAAACACCATGGAATTAGTTTACAAAAACAATAAAGCTGTTATCAGAAAAATTAAGTATTTTTCAGCTCTTCACTGCATGTACTCTTCAAGAATCACGTAACATGTAATCCCTACACCAGTCTCTTCAAAGTCTCTTTATTTGCAAAACTGAATAGTATTAACTATACTTCCAATTTTGTGATACCTGACTGCAATCAATAGAGAAGTATTTTGCAAATGCTGGATATAGTTCAAATGGCAACACTTAGTCTCCTGCTTCCAGGCACACAAGAGATGATGCATACCCAAGCAAGACGAGTACAGATGCCAAACGTGTGTTCTGGGGCCAGGTCTATCACAGCTGCAGCATCACTCAAACAACGTTGACTTTCGTATTTACTTTTATTTATACAGACATTATCTATCTACCTAGCTATCTATTTTAGTTTTTCTCACAGATCTAACATTCTGACATAGGTTTTGATCTAATTTTTGAAGGGTCACTGACATAGTAACCAAGCACAGTTAGGGTCAAGTTCAATCTACACAAATTTGTTAAATACAATAATAGGTGGAGAACAGTGTTATCTCCTGTTTGAAAGTTCTCCTTTCTTTCTTCTATCCACCAAGTCTGGTAACAAGAAAAGAATAAGAAGGAGAAATTTTTATCAGGGACCATGACAGAGAAGAAATAAAAACTATGATGTGAAGAGGACTATAAAAGCATAGTTAGAAAGATGCAATATCCATAGTTAAATGTTGTCCTTGCTTCCCACCTTATATACTCATTTGATTTCATTTTCAGCATCAGTTTCTGAAAGACAAAGCCTCCTGCTTCAATTTCCTCCCACTTAGCTGTTGTAATGGAAGCCTTTTTTTTTTTTCCTAAGTTGTCAGTCTATTCCACCACATTCTGTTTCATGGAATCACGAAAGACTTTTCTTCTTCTTCTTCTATTTTTCCTTTGGCCAATTAATCCAATGTTTGCTGGCTTTTTCCCCCGACCAGAGGAGATGGCTATTAGGAACTGGCAAATATAAGGATGTGTACATTTAATATTAAAATACAAAAAATGATCAGCATGCCACAATTTGCAAGTGGTGACAGCTTCCCAAATAAATGAAACCTGTTCTGCTTAAGCTATGCCACCAGAAAACAAGTCCCCCAGATCTCAGATCTCACTCACTTGGTTGTGTATCACTTCCTTGAAAAGAAGAATTGAGGGAAGTTCAGTGTGTTGAGAACAGTTTCTTTCACCTTTCCGTTTTCTTTAGGTTAGCATAGCTTATCTGAATCAAGCCTTATAACTTGACTTGAGAACAATTAAGGAACAGCACACAGAAAATTAGGGTGCCTTTGTTTTAAATAAATAGTGGCCTGACACTTAAATCCATTCCATGTGTCTGTTTCATTCTTTAAATTTTGTTCCATCTTCTTCAGTAAGGCAGCGAGCTTTTTCTCATGTGTATTTACTGTACATATTTATAAACTCAACTACACAAAAAAATGTATGAAGATAAGCATTGGTGTCTTCTGCAAATATCTTCTTTACAAACATCTGATTCAATTCTTATTTTTTTGTTCTGTTAATCACCTGTACTACTTGTTCAGTAGAAAATAAAGTCCTTGTGCAGTCTTCACAAAGCTTGTCTAAAACACCAACCACAAACCATTAAATGCTAACTTCTAAAGAAATGTCAAAAACTATGTTTGCCACAGCTGAACATTTCAGTGTAATCCCAGACATCTGCTGCATATGGAGATTACCAATTTAGAAAACTGATTTATAATGTACTGTGCAGTTTGTTAATATAAAGCCCTGTAGTCATTGTAAAATCAGAAGCCCTAATGATGAGTAGGCAACCTGCTGCATTTCGTGTTTTTTTTTAAAATGATCATTTTTTTACTTCATCACTGACATTCATTTAGAATAGCATTAGTTATTGCTCCCATTTCTTTTAAAATCAGAAAATAAATGAAAAGAACATAAATCTGAAACAGCCCTCTTGTTCCAAGGCTTTTTAGTTTTATACTTGTGTCCTGGTTTCGGCTGGGATAGAGTTAATTTTCTTCCTGGTAGTCAATATAGTACTGTGGTTTGGATTTAGCATGAGAACCATGTGATAACACACTGACGTTTTAGTTGTTGCTAAGCAGTGCTTATACTAAATCAAGGACTTTTCAGCTTCCCATGCTCTGCCAAGTACACAAGAAGCTGGGAGGGGGCACAGCTAGGGGGGCTGACCCAGACTGGCCAAAGGGCTATTCCATACCATATGACATCATGCTCAGTATATAAACTGGGGGGGGAGTTGGCTGGGGAGCAGTGATCACTGCTCAGGGACGGGCTGGGCATCCGTCAGCGGGTGGTGAGTGGTTGCATCACTTGTTTTTCCTACGTTTTGTTCATATCTCTTTCTTTTGTTGTTTTCCTTCTCATTACAATTTTAAAATTATTATTATTATTACTACTACTACTATTACTACTATTTTATTTCAACTACTAAACTGTTCTTATCTCAACCCATGAGTTTTCTCACTTTTGCTTTTCTGATTCTCTCCCCCATCCCACCAGGAGGGGGGAAGGTGAGTGAGCGGCTGTGTGGTGCTTGGTTGCCAACTGGGGTTAAACCACGACAACTTGTCAGTGCAAGCATCATTCTCCTGTACGTAGTGGATCCTATCACCTGAAAACTTAAGAAGTATTCGAATTTTAAGATGCATTTATCAGATTTATCATGATCAAAATCAAAATATAGTGGATCATTTAAGATTTTTTTTTTAAGATCTTCTCTCAAGTCCCCAATACTTCTTAATGCACAAATCTCAATGACGTGAAATAAGCTAATATTTCTTTCAAAGTCTGGACCTTTTAGAACTGTTTAAATTTCTAACCAGAAGAAAAATAAACTCTCTGCTTAAATAATTAGTAAGAAGAATTTACAGAACTGCTTTTTTTAAACAATAAACTGAGTAAAGCTCTAGTTTGAAAAATACTGTAATTCAGATTTGTAATGTAACAAAACCTTTGATGCAACAAAACTACTGCCAAGTTCTAGATGTCCGGCCAACTATTCCAAAGCACATGAAAATTATTCGTCTCAAAGTCAATTTTGCTATCAAGAACATTATCCTTAAAAAGAAATCACTGAACCCCAGCTTAGCAAATTACTTCAGCATATGGATTTCATGGGCTGAACTAGATATATGTACAGTAGGTTTTATTTTATTACAAATCTTGTCCAAAACAGATGATAGTGTTATGTTGTATCAGTCAATATTTTCAGGTCACCTGGGATTATAAGCTGAATGAATGACAAAGTGAAGTGGTCTCCCAGGAAAAGATTCTTTTGCAAGTCCCTGCATCATTATGGCAATTAAATAATTCTGATAACCATTGATACAGCAGTATTACTTTAATAGCCTGATTACCTGTGAACGTAGTAGCAATTAAAAAGATCCAGAATAAAAAATGGAATTAAGCTTCAAAAATCATTATATACAACACACCCACGCACTGTAATAAGGAGATACTATTTATAATTTACATATTGCATTTACTATTTACATTAAATAAGGCAAATAAACCACTATATTCAGTGAAGAATAGCTCATATTCTCATGATTACTGATATCATCATGAGTCTCAATCCAGACAAAAAAATGAATTTCAAGATTACATCACAATATTAAAAGACTGAAAATATACGTACCACTAAGAATTCCTTTTTGTCCACCATCTCATTGCCATCAGTATCAAACATGTTGAAAGCGATTCTAAAACCTGCATGCGGCTCTGCCAAAAAAAACCCCATTCAATTATTTATTTGCTTGGAAAGCAAGCAAATATAAAACTCTATATAAAACTCTATATAACTCTATTTGGTGTCTGTTTATAAAAGCCATATCCTCAACTAATTTAGATTAGTACGTTTGTGTACATAGTAAATGTAAATCATAACATCTGTAAAACAATATTATCCATGTTATGAAAACAGAAGGCATGGTTACAAAGTTGTAGATTAGGGGAAATAGACAGTAGAAATAGAACATGAAATACCCAAGAAAAATATCTCACAGTAATGGCTGGTTGGGTAGTTAAGACTGTTAGTTCATAACTAGAGCCCATTTTATGTTACAAAACATAAATTTGTAGAAAATAAATCTTCTATGAAAACACAGTGTTCTAAAAGACACTTTAAAAAGTTTTGCAAAAAAGGTACAGGATGCAACTTCTGGTCAAAACAAATGATGTGTTGAAAGAGACTCAGAATTTACTTGTTTACATGCTTAGAGACATTGAAATTTGAAATCAGGTTAGAATTTTAAATCAGGTTAGAATTTTAAATTATTTCTGAAATGTGAGGACTTTGAAGGTAAGTGAAGCCTTTAGGCAACATTTCGATAATACTCAATGATTTGCAATATGGATGAATTATGGCCAAAAGTTAGTCCAGACAACAAAGAAATGATGGAAGAATATCCATCAATCCAGCAGTGTAGGGACTGTAAGGGTTCAGGGTCAAGTTCCTGCTGTGATTCACAATAAGAATCCAAATCATGTCTGAAGAAAAACCCAATGAATTCAATAGAAATTTTTTTATTACATACAAAGGAAAGACAAGTAAAACATTTCGCTCCTTCTAAAAAACACCTCTTAAAATATCAAAACAAAGTCTGTATCAGGCTTAGTTTACTTTAGCTGTAAGTTCTTCTACTTTGTCTTTATGAACAGTAGAAGAATAAGTATTGTTTTGTTAGTGTTTTCTAACATAAATATTCACTTTAGTGTGACAGATTTTATATTTATATTCTATCATTGTCTCATTGATGTCACCCATTATGCACTAATAGGTGAAACAAACCAGTAATAACGTATATCTTCTCCCTATATTCAATGTCCTTTATGAACTTCAGTAAATTCAGCTAGAAATTTTGTAGGAATCTCAAAGAAGAAAATAAATTTAAGCTTTTAACAGGGGTTTAGCTGAAGTGTATGGCTCAACTTTCTCAACAGTCAGTAAAAGGTGTTCTAGATAATAAAGCACTTAAATAAACCGTAACACAAGATTCCAGTAGGACAGGAGAGGTTCAAATGGACATAGAGATGCATGATACATTTTTTTTCCATATTGGGATATGCAGGAGAGGGGGAGAAAAAAAAGGAAGAAGAAAAAAGGAGTATTGTAACATACGACAATACATTCAGAGCTCAGAAATTTGTAAGGAAGTTTTGGGGTTTTTTCCCTCCAAAAATACTTACTTGTTAAAATACATAAGAGGAATAAATATTCTGTGTAAGATATCACACCTGAAGAAAAAAAAAAAAAGTTATGCCATATTAGTTTCACCTTGTATTCACATTTTAAGCTTGAAAATATTAGATCTATGTCTAAGAAAGAGAATTTTTGTACATGTACATATGCATATTCATACTTCTGTGCATGTGACTGCATTCAACCTGGTCAATGAGTTATTTCTCTAAAACATTCATCTATGGGGTGGGGTTTTTTGTTTGGGGTTTTTTGAGTATTTTAGAGAAGGAATACATTAAATATGGCAAATAAACAGCTACAGTCACTAGAGAATGCTCATTAAACAGAAGCTGGCTAGATTCTTAGATGCTAATAGAAATGATTTATTCTATTTTCTTTCTGAAAACCCCACCAATAATTCATGACAACACTCTCTAACAATATGAGAACATTTACTCTGAGAACATTAATAGCACTCCCTCCTGATATGTACCATTTGAATACAGTTCTTGACTTTAATACGTGCTTTGTAAGTGCATGTCCTATATTAATTGGAAACTTAGCCTCATGTTATTTATGAAAGCATAAATTTGGGGTTTTGCATTGTCTTTATATGCACATTTTCATAATCATCACCTGAAATTTACATTAAAACTCTTACTAAATGAATGTGTAAATTTTGTTAAATATTTTTAAAGCCTGTTAGAGACATTTGTACTATCTCTTCTTCCACATTCAGAAGATCTGCAAGGAATAAATTCTAAGTTTTTGATCTTTTGTTAGATGTCAAAAGGCAATCACAGTGTGAAATGGCACTTCCTTCTCTTCAGAAGTGCTTAAGGCAAAATTTAAACTAGAGCTGAAGTCAATATCCAAATAGTATGTCTGGTACCATAAGCTGTACTGCTTTTCTAGCTCTTGGGTAAAGAGATAACCTTGCAGAATGCCCATAGTACCCATGAATAGAAGCATCTTACAGTTCAGTAAGACCCGAAAACAATGACTTGCAGCTCTCCCAGAAGCCCTTAGCTCTAACGATCTTCGAAGCTGACCTAGCAAAACTGGTTCTTGATTTCTAACCTATTGATTTTGTCTGTTCTCCAAAACCAAAAGTGTTAAGTCAGTCCACAATATTAGACTATTTCAAAAGAGTAAAAAAAAAAGAAAGTATTTAGATGCCTGAGAGTACAGATGTCTATCAGCTGGGATTTTCAAAAGTTGCTGGCTGTCTCCTTGATTTCAGTCCAAGTCAGGTGCAAAAGTTTTTAGAAAACCAGCCACATCTTTGGATGTTGAAATATCTTTTAAAATCTGACTTAACTGAATATGTGACAAACTATGTAAATAGTCATCTGAATTTTCTTCACTGAAAAACCTGTAAAATTAAAACCTAAAACATTGTATCATTCACATGGATTTTACAATTATTTGAACACGTTTAACATCAGCACCTCCAACACTGCCAAAATAAGAAAGTTTGGCATTTTCTACTAATATTTACAGCTCAATAAGTTCTAAATTAATTCTGTCCTGAAACAATACCCAGGTGGGACTTTCTGTCTTCTGAAATAGCTAAGATGTGAAAATCTCAGCTATATTTCTCTTGGATGTGTCCAAATGCCTCCCCAAACCTTTGATCATACAATACTCCTCCCTAAAAGCCAACTGTCCTGAAAGAGAAGTGCCTTCAAGAGAATCATGTCTACTATCCTCAAACATAAAAGAAAAAATAACCAACCACAGAGATCTCCACAGATATCACAGAGACTGGAATATAAAGAAAATACAAAAGAATCACAGTTAACTAAATTGTCTTTGGAACCAAATCACATACTAGAAAGAATCACTAAAACCCTCAACCTTTACCAGCTGAAATGCTGCCCTCCCAACTTCCATTCCATTCAGGGAAAAAAGATATTTTCCCACCTTTTGATCCAAGAGCAAATTTAAGTCTTCAGAACCAAGATTTTAGGACTGCTAGTAGATTTAGTTAGGAAGGCTACTAAGTATTTTTAATGCCACCTACTCTTTTCCTCAATTTACACATAGCTCCGCGCTGAAGATTAGCAAAGATTAAATGCAAGCATATAAGTAACGCATGCTCTATGCTTTATCTTCTTGATTTCATACAGCAGCTTGCAGAAATTAAATTTTCAAAGGCCTGCTTGAATCTGTTTGGACAAGCAGCTATCAAGAAATCAGATACCTCAAAGGTTCTCATTCAGTGATGTAAAACATTCTTTAATAGCCAGTGAATAAATGTAAATATGTATTTTTGTTTGTTTGATGACACCTTCTTTGTTGTAAAACAGAGGAAGAAACTGCAATTGTCAAGTAGTCCATCACAGGTATGAAGAGAGCAATATAAAAGGCCTTGAAAGCATTCTCTCCTTTTGTTTGTACTGGTATATTGTAGCTGTAGACAGATAGTTCTGCTTGATTGCTCTGAGTGTTATGGGAGGGAGGCTCGGAAATGACAACTAAACAGAAAGAAAAGCTTATACTAAGATCAGAAAGAAGAGAGGGAGGTCACTCAAGGGCAAAACACAAAAATAAAACTTAAGGACAACTGGCATAAATCTACGTGGCTCATCTGATTTAAATGAATCTATGGCAAAATAAATGGAGATAGGCTTTTGCTACTTGCTTCATATTAAAATGTGCATGTTTTAAAGAAAATCAGTAAATTAATCCTGGCATTTTCATATCAGGTACTAAATAGACACTAAATTAGAATTAAGGAGACCTGAATTCCCATCCCTGTCACTGGCTTACTGAATGACCTTATCAGTCATAAGACCCATCATGTTTTCTTATATTATCTAAAATGGGATAACAGAACCCAGTTTTTCGTAAAGCATGCTGAAAAGCTACGTAACCGCGGAAGTTTATTACTAATTTTACCAGTTTATTACGCCAGTTTTGAGTCCTCTTAATTCCATCAACTTCTGTAGAATTTCACTGGCAGAAAACTGGAGTAAGATATTGTTGAAGCAAGACTGCACATGTTGCAGACATTTTATTACAGATTTAATAAACAACATCCAGATATGTTTTTTTAAACTAATAATGTATTGATTTAACAGATTCTGAAGCTGAATTTTTATGTAATTAATATTTCAAAAGTCAGCTATTCTGACTCTAGAGAAAGCAGCCTAGCGCAAGGAAATACAGTGCAAAGATGTGCCAGTTTCTACCTCTCTGGAGTTCTGGCTGCAGACTCAGGGAAAAAAGTGAACGCCTCCACGCACTAGATATTTGAGCCTGGGACCCTCCTCTGAGAGTAGATGCATACTTACTCCTTTAATAAATTTGAGGTGCATTTGAATTAGATTCATCAATTACATGCACACATTTGATCAGAATTTTGTTGCTGGCATGCGTATTTTAAACATTCATAAAGTGTCTTTATTTTATAGCAAGTACTTGTGGCTGCTTTTAAAAATATTTAACATGTTCCACCAGACCTTTGCCATTCTGAATATAAGCAAAGGAATACGTGGATTATTTATCATAAATAGCTTTTAAATGTCTGTATACAAGCCGTCATAGGGTTTTTTCCTGGTTTTTTTTGTTGGTTTTGAAGTGATAGAACTTATTAAGGAAAAGAAAAAGAGGAGACCAGGAGTGTGGCTCATGGCTCTTCCTTTACCAATAGTGTGAGTTTTTAAAGCTATCAAAACCCTCATCTGCAGAATTTAAGGGATATATAGCATTTCTGAAACTTTTTGTGTTGTGAAGACAATGCTTATTCAGCGGTATAAGATACCATTACTGTCTTTACTTTTTTTATTTGTTTCAATGATGTGATTATTTTTAAAGAGATATTGTGTCTTTATCAGAATATTCTACCTGTGGTCTATAGGTCATGCTTCATTACAACAAACTGAACCTGAAACATTCAAACATCAGTTCAAGAAACTCTAAGATGCCAATTCACTTAAGGAGGCTAGCTGTAAGATGGCATGATTAAAACACTGTAGAGACTAAAGGGAACTTTCCCATGCTGTAAAATGGAGAAAGCAACAAACATTTTTTTTTTTTTTGAAGATGTGACTCAGATTAAAGTACATCATCACTTTATCCACAACAAATTAATACAAGTGATAATTTGGTTCAGGAAAATAAATTCTTATCCCCCACCTTTCTCATTAAGATTACGGAAAAGTTTGGATGATCCTTTCCAAACTGGTGGTGTCTCCATAAGGATCTGATTCAGTTCCTAAAAAATAAGATTTAAAAAAGATAAAAGTATATATCTAAACATTTAATGTAGGAGTTAACAGATTATGAGTAAATGCTAGAAAATCAATATAAAAGACAAGTAACTGCATGCAAATCTACCAGTTAATTTAACTTCAGTTTACCACAATGACTTTGGAAGTACTCAAGCACATATATAAATTTTGCACATATAATTATTCCAAGAATTGCTCATCTGCATGAATACTAAGTGTTTGCAGAGCTGGAGAGAGACATGTAATGTATTTGTTGCTAAAATTACTCACCACTGCCTGTATTTACTGAAGCCAAGGGTAAGTCCCCCTGGATTTCATTAAGCTTTTCATACAAGCTCCAAGCAACTGTTCTTTTAAAACACTCAACCTGAACTAAAGCAAACTTCGCCCATGAATATGAATGTACTTTACTTAAAATACAGAGATACAGACAGAGTCTTTTTGCAGTTGTACAAATGTAAAAAAAAAGAAAAGTAAGAGGCACTTAAATATCACAAAAGGTAGAGAGTGGCATGAGTATTTCAGGCAGCTTTGGATACACCTGTTACACTGAGACACTAAAGAAACTCAGATATGGGCTGAGGAAGGAACTGACAGAGGCTTGAGAAAGTCAGTAAATCCAACATAACAAGCACAGCTGCTCAAGTATCTTTGAGATTCTGGATTCAGCTGAGTCTGAAGTGACAAAAATGAAGAAATCAAAGTCTCTTTTTTTTTTTTTAAATAAAGATTTTAAAACTCCCTTCTTTCTCCTGTGACTCTAAGTTTACATCATGAAAGAAAGTAACTGTATCAAAATCTATGGCTATAAGACAGCACAGGAATTATTGCCCACCTGCTTTGAAAGGGATCGCCACTTTTTAGCACCTGCAACAAAAGACAAAGTTATAAATGCACAGAATTTAGTTATGCCAATGAGGGGTCATAAAAATTAGATTGCATCTACACTCTGTGTTTTCTAGCCAAAGAGGAGGTATTTTCCCCTACTTCAGGAGGCTAATCTTCAACCTGGTTCAAAAAAATTCTCTTTATGTTGTTAAAAAAATAATTAGCTTAATACATACCTAAACTCCTAACTTTAAAGAGCCAATTCAGATGTATAGTTTTTAATCCAACTCTGCTTCAGTGAGAGAAAAGACCTTCTACCTCCAAAATACACCACTAAAACATTAAATAGGAAATAGAGGGCATTCATGTTAACTGGTGGTATCAATATTCTGAAACAATTACTTAGTAGCAGTAGTATTACAGTGCAGACTGTAGCGAGACCTGGATTCTGGCCCCTACTTCAGGGACTACTCATACCTTTTAAAGAAAATACAGAAAAAAAACATTGAAACTTCACCAGGTGCTAGGACTCCCTTCAGCCATTCCTAATAACTCAGATTCATGTTGCCTTTTACAGCCTCCGTCAGGCTCAATTTTTTGTAAGTAGTTTTAACAGGGGAGCTGAAGAGGGCCTCTGGTTCAGAACTGGAACTGCTCATTAATACTGAAAACTGATAATGAGTAAGACTGAGCAGATTCTTTCTTCCTAACGCTTTTCATGAAAGACTCCAGGAGCAGAAAAAGATACTCGCATTTGACAACAGCTGTTCACAACCATCCAGGAATTCAAAACCTGAGGTTCATCACCACCCTCTCAAGACGAACATTTGCACAGATTCAATATTAAGATAAAGCACTGTGAATATCAGAATTCACAAAGGTACAAGAAGTAGCATAGTATGTGGGCAAATCCGTAACTTTTTGGTTGGTAAAGGCTCATGTTTACAGAGCAAAACACTTTGTGGTATCAGAAATCCCTTCCTCATGACGAACTCCATGGTCTATTAAATAATTATCACGATACAGAAGCTACTCACTATGGTCTTTCATTAGTTCATGGTTAGAAACTCACTGAAATTTTAATTTTACATCTTAGTAAAGGTTACACCAAGACTGTCTGCAAATCCCACTCCAGCTATGGTGGAGTTATATCAAGCAACATCATAACATGAGCTAGCAGATTTTCATATACTTTTCAGTTTAATTTTTTAATGTCAGTTGAAGTCCTGTCTCAAAATACTAAATAAACTCCAACAAAACAACCTCATTTGCCATACAAATTGATATATGTTTATGCCTACCATACGAAACTTGGGGAATAAATATATCTAACTTTCTAATCAGATAATTTCCCAGTCTCATACATTATATGTAGATTTTCTTTCCAGACAAGCAAGTCAAGATTTATGTGTATATACATACTTCTTACAGCTCAGTATTAGGCTAAAATTACTATAGTTAGAGCTAAAGGGAAGCGAAGCTTCTCTTAATTGGCTTTGTAAATACATAAACACATATTCAGATGATAAAAATGTATCAAGCATGACTGTTAAAAATAGTGTATTTTCCCAAATGAAAGCCTGTACCGTAAAGGCAGCAGCAACAAATTAATTATAGCATTTATTTTATATTTTTTATAATAACTGCCTGGAGTCAAAAGTTACATTTTAGAAAATAAAATATACTGTTACCATATTAGCTAGTGTTTAATCAAAAAAGGAAGTGAACACCCTCTTGACTTTTGTAGGGTTTACAAGACTTCCAAAGTAAATCAATCACAATAGACGCATTCAATCACAAATCTCATTCAGGTCTAGTATTATTAGCTTTTCTATAAAGTAGACCTAAAGAGCTACTACTATTACTCTTCAAAGGGCATTTTTGCTTTTTGACAAAACTCAAGACCTTTCTAGTCTTCATCCATAAAAAAGAACAGGTGTATGTTCTTTTTTTTTTTTCTGCAAAATATAGATGTTCTAGTGTGTCAGCCTGAATGCACGTAATTATTTACAACTTGTAACTTATCTACAAAATGATCCAAAAATACAAAATACAACATTTAGAATGTATTCTTTTATTCAGAAAAATACCTTCCTTAAACTTACTACCTTCCATAGAGCAAGACAGAAAATTAAGACTTGCTCAAACAGACAAAGCGGTGCTTTGACAAAGCTGCAGTACAAAGGTTAAAATGAACACAGTCAGAGATCAGAACGTGGAAGTGGTAATACCTGCAGGTCATCTACTTCATCTATTACTTCCTACTCCTCAGCCTTCTGTCCAAAACGTCCTAGACAATGTGACTTCCACTATAATGAAGTTATCCACTTCTACTTAGTTACAGCCTCTTACACTATCCCTTAAAATAATCTCAGTCGTGTAATCTCTGATACTAGTCTATAAAACTAAAGGACATCCAGGTTAGTTTTGCTTTCAGTCTCAGAGATAAACTGGATGCACAGGAAGGATTTTGATACAAACAGGGTTTGCTACCCTGAACTCAGAAGGGTGCCTGACTGTTCAACTCCAGATCTTTTCTCCTTTGGCATGAGATGAACAGAATGTCCTTGCGAGCTTAACGCTGTTTGGTTTGGTTTTTAAAATCTGAATACTTGCTGTGAGAGAGGAGGAAGCATAAATTTCATTAGCATGGAAAAATCTTAATAGCAAACCATACATACAGTGTGGTCAAGCCAGTCAAACTGTCATGAAATGGAGTTAAAACGAAATGTTTAACTGATGTCCAGCACACGGCACAAATGCTTCATGACCATACATGGTGAAACCCAATTCCACAGTAACAAAAAAGGAAGACTTGGAGATCTGGGCAGACGAAGCAGTTATCAAATGCTGATGTGTATTTGTATTAACTTCTGTGATAAGGAATCTGCTTCCTCTCTTTTAACTGCAGAGCAAAAAAAGAAGAGAATTTGCTTTCTGGTAAGAGTTTCAAAGTTTTGCAAGTTTTCACCATCTAAGCTCTATCTTCTGTCTTCACTGTTACAATGAGATTATATCTTTATTCAAAAGTTATAGAAGTTTTGATCACTGATGTGCCATGGCTGAATTCTTTCCTCTTGTTTCATTACTGTTAAGAGAACAAAGGGGAAAAATATAACATCTGCACAGAGCTTTGAGCTCTCCTCTGACTGTTTTAGCTGCTTTTGACTGTTCTCTATACTAGCTTTGTGGTGTAGACTTTAGGAAGAAAGACCTAAGGTGAGTTATTATACATGTCACACCTGAGCAGAGATATTCACTTTCCCTAGAAGTTGTGTGCTGCAACCAATGCACTGCAAGCCTGAGGGCCAGGAAATCAAACTAGATCAGAAATGGATCACCTTACTATTTAGTCACTCTTTGATACTTAAAGCAAAAATTTTGCAATAAGCGAACTCAACTTGATAGTTTATTTTTCATTAATTTAATTAACACATAGTGCTAACTCTGGCAACTTTTAAGTGTAGAAAGCAGATCCCCTGGGGGACTGAAACTCTTACTCAAAGCATGTTATTTAGAAAGCCGTGATATGGTTATAAAATCTCTGTAGGGCAAAAAACCCCAACACAATAGTAGACGACAATTTAAGATGGCAAAGATTGCAAAACGAAGTTATCGTAGATTATTTAGAGAACTCATATGTTGCCTGCCTATTTACACAGAAACTTCACAGAGGAGGAGGCAAGAGTTTTACAGCAATACTGGCCTGCTCAGAAAGAAACCGTAACTGTAACTGTGTCAATGCAAATGGTACAAATGAACTGCTTGTCTGTCATGCCTGTTGAGTTGCCTGTGACCTCTAAGACAAGAATGTTTAACTAATGACTAGTATACAGGTGTTTACAATCTAATAACAATCAGGATACTGATTGTATGCACTTGGATACCATTAAAAATAAAACTTTGGAAGATGTAGTACCTTTTTACCACAATCAGAAACAGAAGTAGTAGTCAAAAGCAAAGGGAAAAATAACATACACCACTGGCATTTTCCCTAGCAATTTTATCAATATAAAACTCCTGCTTACATTTGGGTTCATCATTTGTGACAGCCTGAATGAAGTCATATGGAGTCATATATAGCTGTCCTTCAAATTCTAAACTGGCAAACCTACGAAACCGTTGCTCCCGAGGAGTTGCATAAAGGTGTAAATCTTCAAGGTCTGATCTGTTTTCTGTAACCTTCAAAGACAGAAGGAAACAATTTTAATGTATGAAAAAAGTTTTGGTTTACAATTGCCACTGCCATTCCCCATAAAGAAACTGTAAATGTAAAGGTGATAATTCATAAACTCAAATGCATCAAATACTTTTGTATGGTAAGAGCTGAAACGACAATCAGGATTTCACTGCTATCATTTTCAGTACTCTACAATTTTAGCTACAAATCTTTACGCATTGAAATTGTTGACACTACCCAAGCTCAGGGGAAAAAAAAAAAAAAAGAAAAAAGAGAAAAAAAGAGAACTTAAGCTCTTGAATCAGAAAAAGGGGCAATTTTAACTCAAGGAAGTCCATGTAAATTCAGCAGTCAGACTTTAAACAACTCTGCTAAAATTATTTCAGTTGTCTGACATTTCCAGAAGAGAATGGAATAAGACTTTTTTATATGGCTTCTTAGTGTAGAGCGCAGCTGCTGACAATAATAGGCAAGACACCTCCATAATATACACCAGTGTAAATCTTCTACGGATACTGCTATTTCAAGTATCCAATGCAATTAAAGTTACCATACTTGGGGGAACAGAAGAAGAGAAGAGCATAATTATTCCTCTAGAGCTACAGAAGTACTATATGGAATTAAGTTCACACCTCATGAGAGTTTATAGATGTCAGGAGTTTCTGATATATTTACCATCCAGCTGATTTACATGTAAACTTAGTAGTACAAAACTGTAAGTGTTCTAAATTATTACATCTTCGTGTTACACTGTCAAACCTTTTCATAGCAAATATGCTACCGCTATCTGAAAACTTTTTTGAGCCCTAACGAGGCAAGCTCCTCTGTGGAATTAGTACCTTGAAGAAAACATAAGTATCTTGAACTTTTTTCAGATATGAAAAGAGCAAACCCAAACTGTTTCAGAAAAGGAAGAGCAATGATATAGCTAACTTCTCCCAGTATGTTAAAATAGGAATGCAGCATCTTATCAATGAAATATCCCACGCTGCCATTGTCCTCAATATTCTTGTCATTTCATACAGTATCCGTAAAATTCTCCAGGTGTCAAACTAAGGAAAGGCAACAAGTAGCACATGGTTTAACTAATGTCTATGTTTTCATTTAACAACTAAGAAAACAGCCAAATAAATTATGTCTTTCAGAGAGGCATGTAAACACAAAGAGAAGTTGGGAGATGTCTGCAGTTGCTGTCTGCTAAGAGATAACAGTCCTCAACTACAAATGGAAATTGGTTTTCCAAAACCTTTCTAAGTATAGGTTTAGGATTTCTGCAATTAGAAGCAAAGGCACATTTATATTGGGCAGTCAAAAATCTGGGCTCACTTTCCTTCTGCTTTCCAAACAGCGTCCTTAAAAAATAAAACATTAGTAAGGCTACTTCAATGAAACAAAATTTTATGGCCTCATTTGTAACTAAGAGATTAAATTATGTTGGTAAAACAGACACATCAAAAATGAATGTGTCTAGAAGAGGTCAAACACTTTCTATTTGGGAAAAAAACAAAACAAAAAATCACATGTATAATCACAATGTAACAAGACTCGCAATTTCTTGATTTTATATATGGGAGCCTCAGTACTTCAGTACTTCATATAGGACATTTTAACCAGCCTTCTCGAAGGAAAAAAGACTATTGACTGCGTAGTTCTCTTTCTGGACTTTCTCTAGTCTTTTTGAAATTATTGCTTCTAGTGCGTGCGCGCGCGCGCGTGTGTGAAAATGTTTCGTTTTAATGGAAAAAACTGTCATAGAAAGTAAGACTAATAGAAATGCTTATACAAACATTTAATTTTCAGTAGACTACTCTACATACAAACATTCTCCACTTCTGCCTGAGAAGCAGCTTTAAACCTGGTCTTTGTGTTTATTATAACTTTCAAATGATTACCAAATTAAACCGGGGGTGTGGGGGTGTGGGGTGTGTCAAATCTAACAGCCAGACCTACAAACGCACCTCAGAATGACAGAAAAAGCTGAATTCTCTTGTGACATACTCACGTGCAAGCCAAAATATTTCTGTCCTATCTCACTGTTTGAATATTGCGATCCTACTGATCCTTCAAGAGTCCAGTGGCATTCAAGCTATGCCTTCATGTGGGATTTACACAACTCAATTATTTTGGTAGAGCTTGTAGCAGCATAACTGATATCCCTGTATTTGAAGTCTAATAATCTATCTTATTTTTGATACATATGTTATTTTATCACTATTACAAACATGCTTTTGAATACATGTAGGTTGTAAGCATGAGTAATAAAACAATATTTCTGCAAAGTCGATTTTCAGAAAAGAAATTTCTTCAAGGCCATATTACACATGCAGTATTTATAATCGATTGCAATCAGTCATAATCAATCATACATACTCAGGAGAATCTGTAGATAATGCACTACTCAAAAAATATCATCTTAGTTTTGATCATTGTTAGTATTTGGAGAGCACATTGAGATTCTTTGCTCTCTCAAGAAATTCACACTATCTCAGGTACTACTGCTTAATATTTTGCTTGAGACACTTAGAAAAGCATTTGCTAAATTCTCAGACACATATTTCAACATTATCTTAAGTTCTCTATGCTACTAGTATAAAATAACATACTGCAAACATGGACACGCTTAAACTTAACTCATGCCGGTACTCAGGTCTGCAAAACCTTAATTTCTGCTTCATTTTAGCCAACCTACAGTTTCCCTCTGACTATATAGCAATGCCAGGATTTCACGCTCTGGCTCAACGTCACCGTAACCTGATATGAATACAGCTGGCCACCAAAAAGAGCAGTACCTCCCTAAAGGCTCAATACCCTGCATGCCCTTGCTCTAGCACTTTATGTTCATTTTTCCAAGCGTCAGACTGGATAAGGGAACTGGTCTGACAGAGAACTTTTTGGTTTGGTGCTGTTATTTTTTAGGCAAATAAATGCCCTGGATCTACCCCACAAGAACAGTTATTTGTTTCAAAGCCTAGGCCACAGAAATTTGCAGCTTATGGAAAAGAAAATATCACCTGTTCCAGCAGCAAACTCCACCTACTTCAAGTTAAAGTTATGGGAAAACTGCAGGCTTAAGCATAATTTTATTCCAAGAAATAAAAATACCACTTTATTTTGAACTTTGTGGTTTTATCTGAAACAATCAGAACAAGTTGTTTCTGCTATTGATCCAACATGAATTCAAACAAACGTATACAGGGCTTAACATGTATTAGATCACTGGTCCATACATTAAATGTCCAAATAAAAGCAAAGTTTGGCTGCATCAGACTCCAGGCACACACCTTAGCAAACTGACAAATAAAACCATCTTTGGGAATAATATTATTTTTTGTCCAAATTTCTTGTTCAGAGCTTTCCTTCTTCTATTACTGCTTATCAATTTACGTAACATACAGCAACTTTAAGTCTCTTGCATAAAAGCTGTAAATCTTAGGAATTAATCAATATGCTAATTAAAAGCCAAGCCATTCTAAAGTACTACCTCAATTCGCACCTCTTCAGGCATTCATTTCAGAAATTCGTCTCAACGCATAACTATGAAATGTCTCCTGTTTTCCCCAACATCAGCAGATCATAATCCAGTGAGGCAAGTATGAGAATCTTAGTTACACCAATTGCTCTTGATTTATTTCATATTTATGCCCAGGTTAGGCAATCTTATTGTAGCAGCATTAGTATCAAATCAAATAGACACGTGAACAAGACACAGAAAGTAGATGTTGAATACCTCAGGGAAGGGACTGTTGGTGAAGGAGAGAACAGGATTCAATAAGATTCCAATTTCTATTTGAAGTTTAAAGAGCTTATCCAGACTAAATCTCTCTGTAATTATCAACAATCTTCAAAAACTTTCATGAAAGTACATCTCTTTGACAAACAAAAGAGGGGAGATTTTTTTATGCTTCTGTTTACTAATCCTCTTGGCAATCCTGCCTACTAATTACTATGATCTTGTATCATGTTATGGTTCTCTGCCTTTTAAAAACTGGACACAGCCATTTCCTTCAAGCAGAATGTCACGAATCTCCCAAGAGCACTATTATCTTAATTTTAGGTGTAGCAGGTTAGCTCTGGTTCACCTGCATATGTACACTGACCTACTTTGTTATTAGAACTTTTAGGGGAAAAAAAAAAGACCCAGAGCTGAAAACAAGAATCAAGCTGGTAGCCAGAATTTCCATTCTTCCAACTTCACAACTCATGAAGTAAATAAAAAGAGGCAAGACTGAAGCTCATCAGCACTCACGAACAATATATTATCTTTTCCCTATTCTTAAAAAAAGCTAAGCATTAATAGTTGTAACCAAACAGCTCATGGTTGCCATCCTTCTGCCCTTCCTCCCTCAAACTCTGGTACCTTGTTGTCCCATATTTCACCTCCCACCCCCTGCCCTCCTGTGCCATACCCTTGCAGAAGGACTGCAGAAAGAACACAGCACCTCTTTGCAGCGTGGCTGTGCACCGTCTTGGCTTCCATCTGCCTTCTGCAAAACCAAGAACAGAGACTGTGTGGCTCTTCTAAGCTCAGCTTAGATCAGCTGAGGAGAAAAAAAATTATCTTGGCCTATTTTCCTGCTGTTCCCTAACACAGAAATGTCTACACACATACCTAATTCTCACACAGAGGAGACATTTCAAAGCACTTTCTAAAATGGATTAAATGGATTCAGCACTTATATGCAAACCACCACCAGGCAAAGGAAACAGAGGGAAACATTTCCCATAGGAAAGTCCATTTTAACATCAGCTCATCAAAACAAGGTACTAAAAATTAAATTGAAGACCAAACAGTAATTTGGCAGGGTACTTCTCTGAATGGAGAGTATCACTCTTCAATTACTTAAATCTGTGCTACAAACATATTACAAACAGCCTAAAATATCTGGAAAAGGCCTCAAAAGTTTCAAATTTATTATGCAAATGAAAATATGATGATAATGCTCTCTCACTAACATATTTCAAGGACTTAATTCCTAAAAACTACTTTCTAGAAGTACTGCATTTAGAGAGGGCCATCTAAAGCTACAGTAACACCACCACATGCCTCACAGAGTAGTAGCCCCTTAGATCAAGGTCTTTGTTATGGACACTTAACATTTTTAAGTCAATCAACCTTGAAAGCATTCCTTGCAGAACCTCTTTTAGAGCGACACCCCTCTGTATTTTCTTCCTCTATTCACAGCAAAAACTTGAGCGAAGAAAATCTAGGCTTTGTATCAAGCAAAATTAGTGTCCAAAACCCACTCCCATTTTGGGTTCATCTTTCACGTACTGTGTCTATCAATGGTGATGAGTCAAAATGCCCTGGAAGTCTGGCGCTCTCACCAAAGGTTTCCATGTATTACTTGAACTTCCTTGAAGCATGGGCTAATCTCCATTTCTGGTCCCATGTTTGTCTTACTGGCTCTCTCACCTCAGAGACATGGTCTGTCTGAATTTGGTATAACATGAATTAACGTGTATGGCCTTCCAGTGAAATCCATGTAATAATGCTACACTGCTGTAAGATGGCCTAACACAGGACACGAGCTCACCGAGTGACATTAAAATAACTAAAATTTTGCAGTAGTTATGACCCCAAAATATCTCAAAATACCAAAAAATGGTAATGATATGGCTCAGGTCAGTGGAAGTGAAGTGCAGAAGATAAAACATGACATCATTACCCTTTCTACTAGAAAACACAAAAGAAATGTTCTTTGCCAAGTGTTAAGTCTCATATTACATTAAGTCAGTAATTCAGAAATTTTATTCTGTGGCAAAAGATCTAGTTTTCCCATAGAGACAAGCTTAAATGCCAGGTACAGCATTTTTCACTTGAACATTACAAAAAATGATGTCTACAAGCGCATAAAGCTCTGCAGAACAATACTGCAACTCCCAGATTCTGACAATATCTACAAATAATGCAAAATACTTTAAAAAACAAATAGGTAAAAATATACATGCTCCATATGCATGCATATGAGCCAAAAAGCTCCAACAGTACCACATAAAACCGCACAACTTTGCTGTGTTCCCAAGTCAAATATTTTCTCTTGCTTTTTCCAACTGAGATAAAGGTGAGACTATTTTAGCTAAAGAAGCCAACATTTACTACTAAAAGTACCTTTTGCTTGCAGTCAAAAAAATGTTCTGTTCCAGTAGATTAATCTTTAACTAATTTATTTCAAGTGAGTGAGTTTCTTTGAATTTTTGCTTGCAAAATAATCTGTCTTCCATCAGTGAGAATCTGTGCAAATTATTAAAATAAAAAGGTTTTCAAAGCAATGCTGTTCCTTACTTCCTTCGTTTATATTTGACTTCAGGCTTATTTAATATGCTCCCATGTAGATAAAAGTAGCACAATTTTGTTTTCATGCTGGGTGGCCAAAAGGTTAAACGTCAAGTTCCCAGTGTGGGAAAATCCCAAAGTAGACAAAACTGTTTTGATGCTTACTGAAGTTATATTTCTAGTAGACTACTTAGATGTAGTACAGCCAACAATTCTGTTAGTTGATCCTGCTTTGCTGAGATAAGGACATTACTATATTAAAATATTTACAAGCATAGGAAGCTGGAATGTGTTTAAAATATTGTAAAAAGGGCCCTGTTCAAATACAATTCTGTTACAGGAAATCCTTGGGGTAACAATGTTTACTTGTAAGCACAGCTACTCCAGAAATCTTCCAAAATAAGTATTACGCTAAAATATTCTCCAACAGTCCTTCTTACACTAGTTTCACATGGCAGTACTTAACCTCTAGCAGTTCTTCAAGAAGCTTCAGTCAGTGTGTATATCCTGCTACACACGTCCCTATGCTTCACTGCATGCAAGGCTAAAACATAGTAGTAGCTGGACCCAAACATGTATCATCCTTTTTTAACATCCTGAGGAACACAGAATTAATACAGAGGGGTAAACCTTCCTTTTCCCTCAGCATGGCTCTCACCACAGCTGGCTGGCAAGCAGTATCCTTCTCAGGATGATAACTGTGAGGAGCTTCAGATGTCATCAGCCAAAGAGCAAACCATCTTCCTACATTTGGCAATTGACCTATGACATGAAATGCACAATGCTTATGAAAAAAGGGTAGCTACAAGTGGTTCTTGTAAAAATGATGCTTTATGCATCTCTTGGAATGGCATCCTCTTTGAGCAGGCAGGAGAGTCTCCTCCCTAGGGGAGTTTGCCTTACTTTTTGGAGTTGAAGTCTTGTTCTTCATTTCACAGAGATGGAAATAGATTATGTAATCCACTTAGAAATGTGCTGCTACAAATAAACTTGACCTTTTGAGCATTTTCACAAAGAGAGAGTTTGACAGTACTGCTGAAAACTAGGAAGTACTAGGAAAAAAGCTCTGGAAACATCCAAAGTATGCAGCTTCCTTCTCCTGGAAATGAGTGTGCCTTCAAGAAATGTGATCAAGTACATTCTGTGTCTGTCTCTCTCTGCACCCCTTTTAATTCGTAAATCACCTCTGAAGGAAGTGATTCTCAGAGTACATTTTGTGAAAATAAATAGAGACCTGGAGTTTATTACCTTTACACAATGACAACACGATTACAGAAAAGATCTCTTTGGAGTGCAAAGAAGCATCACTGGTATTTCCAAGACCATTTTAATAAGCTTTACAAATGACACTGGAATTTTGGAAGTAAGGAGCATGGAAGCAAGGAACTAGAAAACAAATAT